CTTTATTCTTTAATTTATTTACTTGATTAATTGCAAATTTGACTCTACTCATATTTTGATTGGTTAGAATAACTGTTGCTCTGATTATCCTGTGGTCTGACGGGTAGTTTAAATTCATTGTACCGATGTCTTGAAATATACTCGGTTGATTGGAAAGAATATAGTCTATTTCATTTTTGTATTCGCCGTTTGGGGATCTCCATGTCCATCTTCTGTTAAGCTTCTTTTTGAAACATGTATTTATGATTGTTAGTTTGTGCTCTAATGCGAAATCCACAAGTCTCTGCCCTCTGTCGTTTCTTTTTCCGTAGCCAAATTGCTTCATAACCAAGTGTTCTTCTAACTTGGGCGTTCCTATCTTCGCATTAAAGTCTCCCATAAGTATAACTGTTTTGTGTGTGGTTTCTAATGCTTTGTTGACTGATTTGTAAAAATCTTCTATTTCATGCTCGCTTGCCGCTTCTGTTGATGCATATACTTGTATTATGGTGATCATAAAGTCTTGAATATTCATGTTTAGTACAGCGACACGCTCTGTTATGCCAGTGAAACTCTCTATATTGTTTTTATGTAATTTGTTTATGATAAAGCCAACTCCGTATTTGCCTGGTGTGTAACCTACGTGGCATAATATAACGTTCTCGTATTCTTCTATTTTGGTGCCTAGTCGTCTCATTTCCGAGATTCCTAATACATCGTATTTAATTTCTTTTATAGATTCATTTAATTCTAGTAATCGATCATATGATGCTAAAGATCTGACGTTATAAGTTGCAATCTGTATTTGGGGACGCTTTTTATTTACATTATTACTCGCTGTTATTGTCTTTGGAGGGTTTTGATCGTACTCTTCCACGGTGACCGGCCGGGTTGGAAGAAGTGTATTTATTATAGTATTTATTTGTTCGTGCATGGGGTATATGTAGGAGGAGGGGCTTGGTTGCTATGCTTGTTTACCTAGATTACTGTTTGTGCCTGTTGTATTTTTATTAACTAGAAAATTAAGTATTCCCGGTTTTATGGCTCCTTCCGAAAAGCTATTTGACGTTCTGGATGTTGCTTCAGAGTGAATCATTTTGTCCTTTTTAGTAGTTTGAATATTTCTCGCAACATTTGGAGCGGTGGCATTTTCTGGTGAAGTAATTAATTTTCGTTTAGAGTTGTTAATGTTATTAACATTTAAAAATAACTCTAAACGAAAATTAATTTTATTACCTTTATCATATTTTATTACCGCGATGTTTCTCTTCTCTTTTTCTAATTTTAATTGCTCCTGTAGTTCCTTCCTCTTCTCCAGTATGTATTTCGGATAATCTTCTTTAAGGTAATATTGTGTATCTTTTAACGCTCCTTTCTGTTTCATGATTTTAATTTTTGTGCCTAAAATTGAGCAAGTTACTACTATTGGTCGTGGTCGTCGTCGTGGTAAAGTAACATTTATGTAAGCTTAATAAAATTAAGTAATAAGATAAGTAAGTTTTAAAATTCATAATGAACACTAATCATTTTTATACATAATTATATTTAAGTACCATTTAAAACACTAAATAATTTTCTAACCTTTTTGCTGTACTCATAACGTACGTCAAAGCGATGCACTAAACTTGATTACATTGAACGTAAAAACATCTCATAATAAACGGTAATTTGAATTTTATTCAAATTCAAACTATAAGCCTATCTTTGTAATGTAGAAGCTATAATTCTTACTATATACTTGATAATGAACCGGTGGTGCAGTTGCTACGTAGTTGGCTTCGGTGACGGGGGTCGTCTGTTCGATTCTCGCACGGCACAACTATTTCTGTGACCCCCATAGTTGTTCCGGAACCAGGAGTTTGTCCACAAGGATTGACATCAGGCAGGCTTGGTTGGGCTGGTCTTAAAAAAACCAGCCAGGTGCGAGTTGGACTAGCGCATGAAGGATTCCGTACCATTATATATAAACACGCAAAAAAAAATCCCGTCTGATGTGTGGGAGCCTCACTAAAATATTTTTTATTTTGGTTTTTTGTATTTGTTATTATAGCGGAAACAGAAATACATTGTCAGTGAATATCACTGTCAACTGTCTAACTATTACGGTTTATGACATACAGCCCGGTAGACAGACAGACAGACAGCGGAGTCTTAGTAATAGGGTCCCGTTTTACTCTTTGTGTACGGAACCCTAAAAACCTATTAATCTACAATTAACGTCATGATTCACATGTTCTGCTGACCGCACCTAGGTGTTAGTAGGAGAAAGGAGAGATATGTATACTTGAAAACTTATAACGTGAAAGAAAAGCGAACGGAAAGTATAAATGAAGTGGTAATGCTACTTTCCTGTATGTATGATGAAAGTTGCATTTACAAGCATTCGTTGACCCAAAACCTCATTTCGTTTTATATTTGTTTTATGCATATAACCACGAGAATATAATAAAACAAGTTTCCGATCGCGAATTCGTCTTTCCCAAATCAACAAATCAACGCTAATTATTTTCACTATATTTGGTAAATTTTTATGTATCGGAAATTAACATCCTTGTAATTGAGTTGGAGGATTGGGATCCTTAAAGTGAAAATAAATATTAAAGTGCAAATAATATATAATTAAACCCTTAGTGAGTGTTTGATTAAAGGCATGAATTATTTTAATTAAAAGTGTGTATATTAAGGATGTATCTCCCTAACTAGACAGAGTAACTTTCGAAATTACTACAATTATTTTTCACGCCGAATTATATTATAATAACATAAAAGAAAAATCTCAAGAGTGATATGATATGAAAATCTGTTAGGTAAATGTAGCATAGCTTATGAGCCGAAGTATTACCATTAGATTGCTACAGATGCTAGGAATGTTTTTAATTAGGTAATTCCAACATTTTCACAAAAAATCATTACTAAATCCTTACTATCCTTACTAATATTATAATCGTGAAAGTTTGTAGGTATGAATGGGTGTTTGTTACTCTTTCACCCAAAAATTACTTAATAGATTTTAATTAAACTTTACAATAATATAGCTTATACATCAGAATAATACATAGGCTATAATTTATTTACATGTTTTTATGTATATCTGTCTTTCTAGCTGAATGTTACGCCCTCGGCCTATTCTACGCGGACGTAGTCGCGGGCAGCAGCTAGTTACAAATAACTTTACGCGATTGGCCTTCATTTAAAGATATTTGAAAACGCTATTTGTTTGGAAATGTAAATAGAAGCAATTATTTACGTTTCTTTTCTATAACGAATTCATTTAAGTCTGTGCAGCTGCTTTGGTCTCAATGTTTTACCATTAAAGAGAAATGATCAGGGCGAAACGGGACACGTCTAGCCAATGTAGGCTTGAAAAAGAAATCTATAACTCGGGGGCTAAATAATATCGTTGGAGAATCTTTTAGTAATTTGCTTCCAAAAATCGATTAACTACTACGGAAGTTCTAAAAGAACCGGCTTAACGGAATTAAATTGATTGCATACTATATATCGCCAAGTATACATTTAAATCGCCAAGTAACTGTTACTGTTTTATTGTTAACACAACATAAAAAAATCATATCTTATATGTGAAATCATGTTATGCACGACTCTTGTAAGGAAATTATAAATACGCGAATTATGTTTTTTAAAATATAAAATAATATGAAATTTTAAGTAGATTATAAATAACTAAATAAGCGGCAGATATAACGTCACGGTGCTAAGTGGCAAATACAAACCGATTTTTAATATTTAGAAAAGGATGTTGCATCTATACTTGCTGTAGGCCCTCCGAACATAACTGTTTAATGTCTAGATATAAAGCGCACCGTGGCTGCTTCCGCGCACGTCACTCTCGATCAAGCGAGGCTCAGGCGTGGCCGTATGTTCGCCGTGTCTTTGTCTTAAAAAAAAAACTCGTTAATAACTTACCAAGTGTATCTTTTTAATTTGGTGTTTGTTTTGCACTGGCCGCTGCTTGCACGTAAGTATCTGTGCCGGTCATTGACATCGTGGTATGTAGGCCGCGATCGCTATGGCGTTACCCATTTTAAATCAACAACGTTTAAAATTCTTAATATCTTGGCAATTGTTAAATACTTCCAGACATTTTTATTCAATGTGTCCTTATTATATCACACGTACATAAAGTTTGTTAATAAAATTAACGGGAATAATGTAACTTACTGTTATAAAAGTTTTATTTGTAAGAGTCCACGATCTGCTACTGGTTTCAAATATTAGAGCCACCGAAGCCGGTTTAAAAAGTAAACAATTTCGGTTTTTGTGTCATTTCGTCGCTGACGGCCTTACGACTGTTTGACTTAATATTGACCACTTTAACCGTGATGTCATAAATCGGTTTCTGGCTTAGTAATTTATTGAGTAAATATAGGTGCACTTCATGTGATATATTAGTTAGTTTTAAGGAAATGTTAAAAATGTTTATAGTTTTAAGCAAATGATTGGAGTATTTTCGCATCATTCCGCAAAATAGAAACTAAGTTCTATAAACTTTATTACTTTGTAATAGCTGTCCACGTTAATGTACGTTTCGAAAATTTGTCGTAATTTTTATTAATATTGGCATGCTAGGAATAAAATATATGTACTATTTACATTCACATACGTTGCTAAATAAACTAGCTAGTTTACTAACGTATAGCTGAAACGGCTTATCTAAATATTGAAAATTAAATTTATCCTGTTTTTTTTTCTTCGGTTTTTGATATTAAGAACGTATAACGTTATTTGTTTCGTGTTATGTATAATCTTATTTCTACATTAGTCGTTAGAAAGCTTTATATTTGCTTCAAATGAAAGCAAGTACGTTATTAAACAAACAAAAGCCATGTTGCCTGCTATTGATATTATTGTTAACGCTACACGTCGGCTGTTTTGGGAAATAAGATTCGCACCATTATAATTTCAATGACAACAATTGATATTAAAGAAATGTATACATCCTTTAAATTATAATGCTTTTTCTTACAGATTAAAAGAAAGCGTCGACAGAGAATCGCACGATGAGACCGATTTTGTTGGGTGAGTGTCTAATGGAGTATATCTGATATGTCGGAGAGTTAGATAAATAATTTCTTATTTTTGCACGAAAATTTCATATCTTTAAATGAAACTGGTTAATAGATATCGCTTGTAATTCAAACTTAATTTACGACGTTTAAGTACATGGCAGTTTTATGGATACGGGATAGACTCGCGAAAATCTTTACTTAAAAAAAACAATCGGCGTAAGCCTTATAATCATAAGAAACAACTGATATTATGAGAATAAATTTAAGTTATTAACTTAGAAAGTGATTTTTTTTTATGTGAGAAAATGGCAAACGAGCGGTTCACGTGATGTTAAGTGATAACCGTCTGCCCGTGGACATTTGCAACACCCGTAGGGTTGCAGATGCATTACCACCTCTTAATAATGTGAGCCCCGACTACCTCACTCACTAGACAAAACGAAGAAGTGCAACACTTCTACTTTACGCCGGTCTTCTGTGAAGTCGTGGTACTAACCCGGACGAACCTGCCCATTCGTGCAACAGCAAGCACTGTTGGGTGGTCCTACCACCGTAAAATATTTACAGTCTTATCGGCAAATAGGTGTCCAGGCCTATTGTTTTTAGGGTGTGTTCTTTACATACTTTACCTAGGTAGTAAATAAAATGTCTCATAGTACTATATCTTAAACGTGGAGTAGACATGATTATATATCTCCGTTAATGTAACATTAATATGCGACATCGACTTCTCGAGGTAATCTCCACATTCACACCGTTTATAAATATGACGTATTTTTATCTCAAGTTACAACAACAAAATAGTTTATAATGTACATAATTTATGATTAACATAGATACTGAAAGTCAATTGAAAGATGTAGGTACCTTATAAATCGTTTTACACTATATTACTTCTAAACTAATTTATATTTCGAACTTGTTTACCGACATCCGCTTAAAAACCGAGAAACAAACGTCTGGGGACGTGAGATTAATAAAAAACCCAAAGATTACTATGAATGAATTGTAGTTATTGTTATTAATAACGAATTCGTTAATAAACCTATTAATATTGTTTTGACTCGATCTAAGGATGACCATTTTTTGTGAGTAGCCAAAATAAAACGGAGTATTTTGCATGCCGTGAACGGATCTTAACATCGGTCTTAGATGCATATCTGATTTAATATTTTATTTTTCCTAAACTAGTTATATTATTGGTCACTTGAATATGGATTCAGACGAATGGATATCTCACCGCCTTTTCCAACCAAACTTTCGCAACAGCTAATATATGTTTCCATTGTGTTTGTTATGAATCGAACTTCTAAAGACTTCCAGAGAGTGTTAGTAAAATGTCGTCACATTACCTGTGGAAAGTTTCTAGCGTTGTATAGAATATCAGTACGAGTAGATATCGAGTGGACAAGAAACTCCGTATCCTTTGTTCGTTCAGAAATGTAAATTTCGATATTTATGCGAGTGCTGGTCCTTCGCAGTAGTCATGCATGAGTCCGACCAAAGTGCATGTGAATTGATAATGTCACCAAATTTGCATGAACACGAATAAAGTGGGAAATTCGATGGGACTTACACGATTTGTTGCTTTTCATAGCTGATAGATGTCTTACGTTTTTTCGATGCTTGGTAAAGAAAGAAATTGTTTTTGATAAGGATAATAAAACAATTTTAACTTTTATCCTCTTTTACTCAAATATTATTAATGAATCGAAAGTAGAATAATAAATTGATGGGTGAAATGAAAAGTTTTTACCCTTTTTCCGAAAACTCACAAAGAAAATGTTCAGCAAATGCATTTTTTTTATTTAAATATTTAAGTTCTATTATCTTTTTCGTCATATTGCAACCCAAAAATAGCAATGTCCTCAACATTTAATACAATACATTTTAAACTTCTCTAAAAAGACTTTCAGATCAAAATATTTAAAAAAAAATCTAGTTAAAGATGTTGTACGCATTTAGTGTTATTCAAGTTTTTATCGCCTTCAATATTTTTTTAATCTATCATATCCCCTGTGAAGGCTTTTATTTTTAATTTGAAGGTTATTTGTATAAATTTCTTCGCGTCTTACGATATATTATCCTTTACTTTAGCTAGTTGAACGTCATCTAGATATAAGCCTAGAATGAGTGCAATACTCAAGAGTGCACGGTTCCTAGTCCGCTGGTATATGCTTCCCCAGGTCACTTAGTTCGAATTGAAACGCACAAGTACAGACAACAAAACAATTACTGCGTATATTAGGATGAATCCCTACCAATGATGAACTTAATTATAAAGTATTTATCGTTGTTTCTATATATTCTGCTATTAATTGGTTATTATAGGGTTTCTTTTAAGAATGCATTCTCATATCAACGCTCATTCATAAAGATACCTTACTTTTCCGTTCTACAGTTCATCATACAGGCAAATAAGATCCAGGAGATCTACTCCGAAAAACGAAAAACCGCAAAGCTTTCATCGTTTCGTTCAAACGTTTCGAATCCGATCTTCGATGTCGTTTCAGAGTAGCTATTACAATGAAGTTAGTTCTATTCTTCGTACATCTACTGTATAACATTCAATAAAAAATAACATGTATTAACGCAGTATGCGTTTTATTATACGTTCTTTTTTGCCTATAACATGCGGTATGATGCGATATAACATATTTAGCGCAATTCGCTCGCTCGACATTAATTCCATGACAAAAGAACTTCATGCACGAAAGATATTGCGTGTTAGAAATTTCAAATGTAAATAGAAACGCTCGAAGATGTGATCGCTAAAGATATGTTACGCATTATTGCAGTTAATGAAACGGAAACTCGAAGAAAGTAAACAGACTCTCGAGTTGGTTGTCCGTTTTTATAACGCATCCATGTTGATTCTCAAAGTAACTTTTTGATGATGTTGCGAGCTCATATACCGTTATCTAAGAATGGATGTTCATTGCAAATTATTATTGTTTTTAAGCGTAGTTACTAATGAACAATCTGTAAAATCAAGTTGCGTGCACTATTTGTGACAGGAATAATAAAATTGCTTGTTTTACCGTCGCTACGCATCCGTGAGCACAATAGCGTAGGTCAGTCAAGTGCGTTCACCGCTCTCTGTAAGTGCTTTACTGACTGAGCTACGTTAGAAAAGAATGATACACTGTTATCTCGTCAAGAATTAACATTAATATATTTATCTTCTTTTAAATGGTAATCTTTAATATCCATGAATGTTAAATGTGTACGGTCACAGTGCGACTGAAGTGACTCACACTGAAGTGAATCTTACTGTTGTTCTCCTGTTTTTAGTTTTAATTGTATGTATCATATTATTCATTTCATTTTCTGCTTACGGTCAGTACGAATCGTTATTTTTAAGTACTCTGTGGTTACATAAAACTATTTTACAGATTTACACAGACGGTCTATAATCTAAAGGTTGGAAAGTGAAAAAAAGATGGAAATACATGAAACAATTTATAAGACCAATAAAACTAGTAATAAAGTTTTATACCAGCGTATTTTTAAGCCCTAACATAATTATTCGATCTTGTATAATACTCAAGCCATAAATATTTTTACAATAAATTTTATTTCATGTCAATTTCCATTTCGTCATGTCCATGTTATTTCATCTCCATTTCAAAAGTGCATAGCACGCCAGCATAGTCACCGACAGCGTACCGTTGCACTAGCAAATAGTATGACCATGATTATGAATTGTTTGAAAACAATTTTGTTCAATAACAATATATTGAACAAATTAATAATGAGAGAAGAAATCAACATAATAAAAGTTATTGTTTAAGCTTTAAGTTATGGTCTAGCTGCACATGAAACTAGTTTATGGATTTTATCAAGTTTTAATTTTTTTTTTCATTTATTATTTATAATACTTGCGTTAAATTAAGAAATCAATACATTGTCTAGCTGGTTTAATAGAAGAGAAGTTTTTAATATTTTAATAACTCATCTACATAATATTATACGATAAGCTATTATTTGAGTGACGATAGATATTATTCTAATCAATTGAATACGTTAAAAGTAAATTTTTATTAACAGAAAATTATCGCAAATTGAAATATTTCACTAACTATACATTTTCCATTTGATTTTGATTCGATTCCGGAGTTCAAGGTTCAATACCAATCAAATTAATATCCGACCGAATGGAAGATATATACCGAAGAAAATACAAAAATAATTTTTAAAATCGCTTCATATGATTCAGAGTTCTGAGGTAACAAACATTAAAATAAATATACCGAATAGACAACCTTCTCCTTTTTAAGTCGGTTGAAAATTCGCTTACACTGAACTGACATAAATAAATTACACTCTAAAACTTCCTCTTTCTTCGGCAGCCATAAGGACATGTCTCATGAATTTTTCATAGTGTGGTCACCGCATTATCTAGGAGCACTGATGCACGCTTTACTATCAACCATGACCAGAGCCCGCTGAACGTTATGGTAGTTTTTCTACTAAACACTGATGTCAATGGACATGTTCTTACGGGATATAAGAGCAATTGATTAATTAAAACTACCGTAAAACTGTCTTATTTAACGACTAGCTTCTCTGTGATTCCGATAGTCGGATAAAAATGAAAAGTTAAATTTCGTATAGCCGTTTTAAATATTCGTATATCTCGTGAACGCTGTTAGTATTGTAAACGAAAATGTAAGTTAAAGTAACATATAATTATCACTGAAATCATTTGAGCTGTTGACACAAGACACAATTTTAGACAGACGGTCAGACAGACGGAAATACAAAAAAACTAAACGGTGCTATTTGTGTTCGGTCAGGCATCCGTATAAGTACCTAACAGTTTTGACTTAATCTTTAGCCTTTAGAAAATCAAAGAATGCATTTTTATTAGTGTACATTTATGTAGTACAGATTTGAATTGGTATGCCTTTCGCGTTATTACATGAAATCACTTGTAACGGTAACTGTTAAAATTATCGTAACGGCAATTTTTTCGATGTCAAGTTTACTTCTTCCGGAAAAATTTCCAAAATAATTTACGATCGTTGTATACTACTCGTTTTACTGTACAACTAAGGAAATACAGTATTAAATACCTACTACTCGTCAAAAGACAATATTGCCGTTAAGTTAAAAATATCGCCGAGTCTTAAGCTTTCAACCCGCTCGCCAAGCGTGGCAACTATTGCAAAAACACGGGGTTTGCTGTTAATTATTATATTAATTAATATGTGGCTAATATTAACTAATATGTGACATTAAATTAAATTAATTAAAACCATAAAAGTCAAAATTAGGGAAACTTAATTATTATGAGTTAATGACTTTATTTATTTACTTCAGTAATATAACGTTCAAAAATTGATTATAAATAATCTGAAGGAACCCGTCCGTAGGTGAATATTATCCACAGGTTAATAATTATCTGTATTTATAATCACTGTTTCAAGTACTACCGTCAAGGAAAATGCAAAATGAACTTGAAAGTGCTCTTCGTGAAAAATCACTGTCATTCTGTGTGTCATGTCTGTCAGTCATACTTCCACTTTACGCTGGTCTTCTGTGAGGTCGTGGTACTTACGCGGACGGGCCTGCCCATTCATGCAACAGTCGAGGCTGCTGCGTGGCCCTACCACCACAAACTTAAGAGACGTTATTTCCTCCCGGATGAAATTTATAAGAGGATTGTTAAAATACTCTAGTAAATAATTAAAAAAATCAGGTGTAAGTCAAGGGAAAAGTCGTCAGCTGATAAGATTCAGTAATTGATAGATGCTGTTACGTTACACTTTTTAAGGTACCAGCTTACAAACTTTCCACTGAGATACAGTAAGCTGACATTAATTTTCATTCATAGTAGCATATATTATAAACGATCACCAGATAAATTTCTAGTTGAGAGGGAATCATTGAAAATATATTTTTTTTTAATGTTCAAGCAGCCAGCTGACGTTATAACCTATGGTCAGCTGACTTTGTTTTTCTTTCAAAATACTAGAAAAACTATAATTATACAAATTTTGAAATGAGACGGAATGACTGAAAAAAACTTTTTTTTCTCCATATTTGGGAGGCTGCCACCGCCCACCCAACCTATGGAGTCGCAGCTGACGGTCGCGAGTATTCATAGTATAAGTCCCTTATGCATTTTACGAAGTTTCTCTCGAGAGGAAATAATTGACCGATAATGCAGGTACATTTTCGGTCAATTATTTCCGCTCCCGGACCAGTCTCGTTTTAAAGAATTCTTCAAAGAACCTGTAACAGCAAAATTTTCCGACGATTGCTCTGATCGCGCAACAAACTTTTTCACAATGTAATTTTTTAGTTTAGAAGCGAATTTACTTCGCTCCTAAAAATAATGACTTCAATTCGTAAATTATTATTTTTATTTGTAAAAATATGTCTTAAGTGCCGGACTTTTAATAGATGAATATCATCTATTAAGTTTACTGATGTAATTAAGAAAAATATGCAACAAATAAAAATTCGATATTTAATAGAATATCTTTTCTCATTTGACATTGTCTATTATAAGATAACCTCGGTTAGGTGTCAATTTTTAAAAGTAAGTTGTTACGAAATAGCTACTTATTTCACCATAAGTGTTTATTTATTTCTCAGAAGACCTCGACCTTGTACAGAGACACGTTTTGGCCATTAATATTAGCGTAGATGTTTTATTGAATCTAGGAAGGCTATGGCAGAGTGTCTCGCATACTTTTAATAATAAACGTAATTACTTAAAATAATTAATGTTCTGACGTTGACTAGGGAAGTGAGAAAAATTTCAGTTACCGTACAATCTTAAACATTTTCGGCTTGGATGTAAAAATAAAGTCAAGTAGTAAATCATTTTTATGTATGTGCGATTGCATAGTGCTTAGTCTAAGAGTAAAAAAAACTAAATATATACATGTATACATAAATAAATAAATTTCATTGTTTCTAGTTTACCGGTAAGCAACTAGAATGCATCAATACCGCTATGTGAACGCGACCTACATTTAAGCTTGGCTTTTATTCTAGATAACCGCTTACGAACCAGTTTTGGTTCGATTTAAACCAACGGTTAACCGCTATCTTATCTATCGGTTATTAACAAGGATCAAGTCGTGGTTTCATATCATATTGGATAATCAGTTTCATAAAATAAATCAATTAAGATAACACAAAAATGAATAACTCTTTCATATGATGAATGATTTTTCTTGGAAACAAATATTCTATTCTTTGATTCTTGAAAAATTACTTACCCTTACTCACTTGTCTTTATTAAATGCTACTCGTTGGTAAGTAAAACTATTTGCCTGTAGTAAAGCCACGCAACATTCTTCTCTGATGCACGAATGAGCGGCGGTTATCACTTAACATCAGGTGTCGGCTTGTTTGCCACCTTCTCACATAAAAATAATTAATAGATTTTACATTTATAAAAGGTATTCTGAACTTGGGAATCTAAAATAAAATTTCACCCGAGATTGTTTTATAAATCTTGAAAGAAATGTTCGCCAAAGTATATGGAGATATTTTAGTAGATCGAGTCTTTATTAATATAACATTTAAAATTTTGTGAAAAAAATAGTGTATTTATAACAAGAATAATGACAAATTCTCAAGTTGAATTTGTATTTTCTACTTAAACAAAAAAGAAGTTTTCTAATATTAATCAATTCCACTCTAATATTGTACAATAGAAAGTTTACTTCGTTAGTTTGTATGTTCTGCATTATTGTTATATATTGCTATTTGCAAATTTGGGTTGAACAAGCTAAGCCTTGTTCTCTTGTTAACCAGATGTTTTATTTTACTGCTTGACATATTTTTGATGTACGCTGTATTCCTTTTTCAGTATTATGTTTGGCAGTGGGCCTGAGTAGTGCTCGCTGGTTGCGACGAGTCCGATCCGACCAGCCAAAAGATATGAGCTTCATCGGTGAGGCAACGAACGAACTTTCTACTACTATATTCCAGGTAATTACAATAGAAAGCAGTTAAATGTTTCCTCCGTGTTACGTGACAATGATTTATGCAGTAGATAACTGTCAGGAAATTATTTATCTGGAAAGATTGATGCTTTGGCTGATTTACAAATGTTATGTGTTGTGTTCTTGCGAAACATCTCTTAAAATTAATATCAGTATGCATCTCTCATGTTGTTCGAAGTTGAAAAAGATTATATTTTTAGACAATTTGCTGTTCGTTTTCTTCAATTATTAAAACAAAATGACTAATCGCCACAAAACAAAAACATAGAGAATAATTTAATGGATAACATTTGAAAGTCTCACATTATGTTCTAGGGTTACATTGACGATGGCAAGAACATTGCATTCTCACCGCTCGGTTACGCTGCTATACTCGCTATTTTAGCAGAGGGTGCCAAAGGAGAGACGAGAAGTCAACTAGTTTCGGCACTTCATCTACCCGAGGATCCAAATCTCACTAGAAAGACATTCCGCTACATAATGGAAAGACTAAAAAACACTAACGAGTATAAATTTAATCAGCCCGAACTCAAAAACTTTTTTTACATTTATAAGAACTACACCATCAATGACGACTATAAAAAGATCTTAGAAGATTATTACTTAGACAGAAGTAAGATCCGTAGAAAAATATAACTCGGAAATGTTAAAACCGGAAGAAACCAATTCTGGCAGCGAGTTCACTGTTGAATTACCCGACAAAAAAGAAGATATTGAGGACAAGGATGAAATACCTGAACTAACGCCACCCAAAGAAACTGAAGAGAAATTTATTTCATTTGCCGTTGAAGATAAACCGGAGAAAGTGGATGTTACACAAATTGAATACAAACCAGCTAAGAATATTAAAGAGAAAATAAAGCTAGTCAAGACAAGTCCTAAAAAGGAAACTGTTGATTTAGAATCGGACGATGAAGAAGAAACAATGGTGGCCGTAGAAGCCAGAAACCATGCAAGAAGTTTGAAAATTTTACAAGACAGAAATGATATTTCCTCCAGTGTCTCTGTTAACAGCGTTGGCAAAAAATCGGGTAAACGTATGTAAAATTCAATTAGATAAGACGATTATTGATAACATACAATTGAAAAAATCTTATACTACAATTTACCTTTCAGCTTCCACGTCTAATTCTTTGATGATTATCTTCAATGGTATGTACTTCCGTGGTTCTTGGAAGCAACCGTTCGAGGTCGTCGAACCTGGTGTATTCTACAAGTCTAACACAGACAAGAAACAAGTGCCAATGATGAAGACGACGGGCACTTTCAAGACCACTCCTCTTCCAGATTTAGACAGTGAAGCTATTTTATTACCGTATGATGTGAGTAAAATTACAAGTGTATTTTTAGTAGTTACTAAATTGCTATGGGGCTTATTATCCATTCTTCTTCTTATTTCTTATAACCATAATTTGTGCTCCAGGGTTGGCTTTCGTACTAAGAATCTGTGGTAATGTTTATTTAGTAAAATATGTTATAATTATTAACAGCATAATTCAAAAAAGGAATGCTTTTTATGATGAAATATTCCAGGGGGATCGGTACGCACTGCTGGTAGTGGTGCCTCGTTCACGCGATGGCCTTACTCGCCTTACCGCCGACCTACCCTCAGTTCCTATCTCCGAGATCCAAGAGACTCTTCAAGATGAAGAGCTGCAAGTTTCACTGCCCTCGTTCTACGTGGAGACAACAACCAAGCCGGTCGCAGCTTTAGCTAAGGTACAATAGCTTATCAAAGTTTCTCATATTTAGGAGAAGACTGAAGTAGTACGTCTGTAATTATTATGAAATATTAAATAGTCTTTTTTTTATTGCTACTGAAAATATGAAACAAATAGTGAGTATAAATTTTATTCTCATTGCTTATATTCGAAATTTGTTCCCAAATGTTCATATTGGTATCATCATAGTTTTAAATAATGCTACTAGTCACATGTGAATGTTTTATGGTACAATAAGTGCCGTCTGCTCCTGGCTCAATGCGTCCATTTCGATAGCTTTCAAATTCGATGAAATCTTGCAATTTTCACATTAATGATATAAGTGCGTTACTTTCGCAGTTCGGTGTGAGCAACATTTTCACCCGTGATGCGGAGCTATCCGGGGTGTCTGAAGACGAGGGTCTGTTCGTTCAGGAGCTGGTGCAGCACGTCGCCGTCCGGGTTGACAACGCTGATTCAACAGCTAACGAACTTTCCGGTAAGATTTATATTAATGAAAAGAGATAATAGTTTCTTCGATGAATATGGGAAATGCAATACATAAATATGAGGTAGATATAACACTAGCGCACCGAAACTGTATACTGAAATTACAACAATTGGTATAATTACATTGCAATTTTATAGACTGCTAATTCTTTCCGTATCACACGTTCTATATTATCTGTCACATTCACTTTACATGTCATATAGTGTAAAGTGGAACATTTTTATGCCGCGTAATATGGACATGCGTCATCTATATTATAAAACATCATTGGTGAAATGTAGTCTTTTAAAGACAAACCTCTTACAAATAAACAAATACATAGGTTATAAAATATAACAGTATGTTACAAAATATTAAATATTCTTTTATATAATAGATGAGACAATTTGTCATTTTTTTAACTGAAATAAATAGTTACTTTTTTGAATTGGTTGTTATATTGTGTTCTTGTTACGAGGCCACATTACGAAGTCAGAATGACATTTATTTTTTTGATTCAATCTATTTTGTTTCCGGAATCTAAATTCATGGAATCATAAGACGCTCCGTTTTTATTGCACCCTCTAATAAGGATTTCTTTGTTACAGTCGCTAATCCTGGAGTGGAAGCACTTAAGAACATTCCTCTGTACGAGGAGAGATCCCCACGCCGCTTTTGCGTCGAGCATCCCTTCATCTTCTACATCATCGACCGCTTGGACAACCTAGTGGTAGTTGCTGGCAAGGTCACCGACCCGCTACAGCCCTCACCGTTTGAAATTTGAATTGCTGTAACTTACAGCACATTTCTATCTCACTAATTTGATCCCAAGCGCAATTATTTGCAATGTTTGTGAAATTATGTATATTCCTTTTAAAGTAGTTTGTTTCCTCAGTGAACATTGACTTTGTTGAATGAATTCCGATATCCACGAATTAAACCCACCATCTTTATTGTTTCTCCAATATTGCCTTTGCGGATAGGCTTTTTTTTAATATATTTTTAAGATTTTATTTTTTATTGCTGTGAGTCGCAAGACAATGAAAATCGCGATTAATGTTATTTAATTCAAAACCAGAAGCATTTGATAATAAAAAGTACACAGCCTAGTTTAGTAAGTTTAGTTTAGTCCTTAGGTATTTTTTTTTATTTATTTTATTCTTGTGAATGTTGTGATTTGTGATATGGTAATAGAATAAATTATTTATTTTCGTACTTTGAAGTTTCATTTTATAAAAAGCCTTCATTTTCAAGGTTATTGAAATTTAATTGAAATATGAAGTATTGGGAAAGGGATGGGTAGTAAGTCCAAATGTCCACTGCAACCTAGAAGAACAATTGTAGTGTTCCCTTCGAAAAATTACATCAAATAATTATGTGTGGGTCACATAAATATCTCGTGTTGGAATCGAATCCTCGATCCCCGGCGCCGAAGTCAATACCTTGGCAACTGCGATGTAATTGATTATAAATCACTAGAATCTACAAATCAATAGACAATCCCAAAATATGTCAAACATATTTACTAAAACTGCAAGTGTTAATGTGCATGTTCATGGAAGTGTTTATTATAGCCGTTACGTTTCTTCTGGTTCGTAAGGTAACCGGGAGCCAAAAAAGTCTTTTAATGATCGGCAACTAATAGTTTCAATCGTTTGTGAAATTAAAATCAGTTGCTATATTTAATAGCCAGGCGCAGTATATTGCCTGCGTCTAGTTCGCATGGAACTTTATGTATTTTAAACTAAATTAGTCTTTCGTATTATTGAGTTCTTTGTGAAAAATTTTGTGTGAAGTTTTTATGTGTATTATCATTTCCTAATCATATTTTATTCAAATTAAATCATTAAGAACCTTTTTTTAAATTACCCATCTGTTATAAAAGTCAACATTTCATGACTGACATTTTTTTCTAACTTTCAGAAGTGGGTAGTTCTAAGAAAAGGAAGTCTTTATTTGAATTTAGTGAATGATCAAGGGTCACGCTGGTCGTGGTCGATTGTGACTATTGAATTTAATTGAAAGTTAAGTGCAAATGCAAGCCATTGAGGAGCAATGGAGGCTGATAAGGAAAATGTCAACAGATTAAAAAGTAAAACAAAAATCCCTCTGCCCGTGCGCCCGTTACCCGCTCTGCCGACTCATTTGCTACAAAAAAAACTTCAAGAAAACCCCAATCATGAAGAGCTCAGGTTCCCATTAAGAACTATCAATTCATCGAGCTTATTAGCTGGACCTAGTAAACTGCATGAAAACGTTATACCGAGAAAACATAAGATTCCACCACAAGTTAATACAAGGTATGTAACTCTCAGAAAAAGAAGCGAAGATTTGGACTGGGACTACAAGGTTTTTAAAGATGACACGAATAATGACAAAGACAGTAGCATAATTTCAATTAGCGACGACGACAGTGTCCAAGAAAATGACAAAAAGCATTACAATTTTTTTATCGATCAAAAGCAGCGCAATTGTCTTGGCGAGGCGAAGAAGGCGGTGACTCCCGTTCCTAAACCATCCCCCTTAGAGCCGAATAAAGTGAGAAATATTAAGAGGAGTTTGAAGAGGCCCCACAGCCGGGAACTGCAGGGTCTTTCACCGGTTGCACAGCCGGAGAGAAAAGGAGAAGAGAGATTCAAACGGCGCCTGAATTTCAATGAGCGATTGTATGACAAATTGAAATCTCCTGATTATTGTAAGTACGAAACAGTTGAATAATCCAATAGTTTTTGACAATTTGCTTAGATCCCAATTAAATTGTATGAGAATAAAAGATATAGTTTTAGAGTATTAACAAGAGAATTGGTAACTAAGTAACTCACACGGCAGTGACTTAGCGTCTGAATGTTTATTTTAACATTTGAATAATACAGATGTGAATTTATAGGTCTCTAACAGAAGGAATCAACGCTTAATATTTGAAGCTACTTCGGTTGCCGCAAACCTAAACGGGATAACGCAATTGAGCTTTCGTGAATCAGCAAAAATTAGGGTGTTGTTGGGTAGTGGGTCCTATTTCCCACTTGTTTCGTATTTGTGTAGCCCACATGTGAATGTTCTGGATCTGGGTGTTTGTCTACTTGTAATTTGTGTAAATAAGAGCAATGTATTGATGGAAGCAGGTGGCTCGGGATCATGCTTCATGTCAGTCTGTGGGGGAGGTTCAGCAGTCGTCTCAAACAGGCTGAAATGATGATGATGATGAAGGGCAATGTTTCAAAAATAAGATGATAAGAAGAGAATGACTTGCTGTCGAGCGAGCTGTGAGCACGGTCCCGAAAGGCGGGTGTACTAACTTTACACGATTTCTTTCGTTTCGCCGTCCTAGGTATACACAATTGGATGAAAAACTGAACGAGGTATGTTGCTATGTTTGTTTATCTTTTTTTTATTCCTGCAGTCAAGAAGTGTTATACAAAATGCATTGAGAGGGATTATTCAAAGGACCTGTTCTCATATTTGTTGAGCATCGAGCGAAGAGGTATGGTGCCGAGGATACCCAGCATAACTCGTGCTTGCATTCTGAACTGGCTGATGAAAGTTAACGTAGGTTTGAAATTTGGTATTTGCTTATGGCTTCTTTATATATGCTTAAGTATCTCTTGTTTAAGTTTTTGTCACCTTTTCGATTTTGTCAATCCTATAGGAATCGAACTATTAGGGGATCTCGTCTCGGTTGGGGCTATGAATATCTTGCACTTTTCCAGTATTTAAAAATGGCTATGGATTATATTACTTATCCCGTTTATAAAAATGAACATTGCGTTATTGCACTTAACATTTTTAAATATAAAGTATTATGTCAATAAAATTAGCAGACATATTTTATGTTTAAAAATATAAAACGTGTGTTGCATACTTGTTTACAAGGATAGTATAAAACATAAGATAATTTAGTGACGTCAAGTTAGATTGTCATAAGTAAAAAAAATATATAAAAGCAATTGTTTGATATTTTTTATGTTTTATAAAATTAAAACAAAATGACTAAATGACAACATTTTTACTTACTTTAAATATTTTTATATAAAACCGTCATCTAGAATGGAAGATAGGAACCATTCTAGATGACGGTTTTATTCAATATGACATTTTATAATGTCTACGACCGGTTGTATTAAAGTATTTTAAGCTCGCTAAGAATGGAGATGTATTTCTAGTCTAATCAAAAGATCGCATTTGTCCTCTGGCTTTGATGTTTAGCTCTTTTTGATGTTTAGAACTTGCATTTTCTATAATATCTACTTCATAATGATTTTTTTTATGTAAGAAGATGGCAAGCGAGCTGGGGGCTCACCTGTTATAACTGCCACCCATGGACATTTGGAACACCCGTTGCATTGCAAATGCGTTGTCACCTTGTACCTTTACCATACGAAACGCAGAAGTATAATGCTTCCACTTATTCTTTATTATTTAGTAAATAAAACTAAGGCAATGACACAGTCACTCAAAAAGAGGTGTGTCATGTACATTGAATTATTAAAAAAGTTATGGAGAGAACCTTTTTTCTTTTATAAATCTAATATACTATATGATTGATAATTTAGTTTATAGTTTATACATAGTTTGAAGCTAATAACGTATCATAGCCTGATTCTAACTGATTGAACTTCCTCCTCGACCAGTTCTATTATTGCTAACGAAATGTTAAGGTTGACGTCTTTCCCTGTTCGCGCATCGCGTCTCGTAAGCTTAAACATAACCGGTAATTTGTAATTCATCTCGCATTGGGGAAACCGTTGACGCTATATGATCGTACAAACAAGTTAATTTCACACACACATTAAAGCGACCTATGGGAAAATATTGAAGATATTCGAACTTGGCAAAATGATGATCTCTCCTTGTATTGATTTTTGTGAATAGACATTGAAAGTGTATAACTTGACTTATTTTATCGCATTTATTAATACAAAATTTACCTATTACCGCCAGTTTAACGACGACAGACTCAAACGCTATAAAATTCGTAAAAACAATCCTATTTTGCAATTGCAAATTAATCCCATCCTCCACGATTATCACCTTGCTCCGGGTTCCCTGGGAGAGAATGGCATAAGGCATTAAGTTCGCCCTTTGTGATCCTTGTTTAAGGTTATTGAAATAAAGTATAAATAAAAAATATTGCAATACAATGGATTTAGTTATAAATTATAATTGTTAGCATCAACTAGTGGAAATTCGTGTATATGTAATTAAATTAGTGCCTTATGAATGCGTTGCCCCACCCTTAACGTACAAACTGGGATCTCGCTGTTCCATGAAGGGTCTCACTGGCGACTTTTTTGCCGATTATTTACGGTATTCATGACATTCACAAATAGTCTTAATTATCTCGTACATTACCACTAATTACTGAACACATAGCACTAGATCAATAGTGCACACACATATAGTGCCGAGTTAATAATTACATTAATTTCTTGGATTACGCGACTATCACACATTGTAAACGAAATTATTTCGAAATTTTCAAAAACCGTCGTAGATAATTTCGTCCGGCGCTCGTTTTTAATTCCATATACTTAGGCAACCTGTGTTCCATCCCCGGTGTCAGCGCCATCGAAAGTGTTAATTTTAAGTGACGGAATTAGTAATTAACAAAATTGACATGTATGTAGACTGATAGTATTACGGACTCGGTGTTTTTGGATTTAACTTCATAAATTTTATGATTATTATAAACAGTTTCACATCTGATTCCCTTGTCTCTTGTTTCAACTCTGCTTCGCTGATAGAAATAGCCTTATTTATATAATTTCATAAGTAAAGTTATGTATATTATTTTTCATAAATCAATGTAAAAACAATCAATTACATGCATCTCCGAAATGTTCTGAAAAGTTTGCGTTACTTGGTCAGGGTCCGGACGGTAACCCGGCGGTCGTCCAAACCGCTGCTTGGTACCTGGATTCCGTGCTGAGCGTGAGCAGCGTGCAGCTAGAACACCTGCAGCCGGTAGCTGCAGCCTGCTACTGGATCGCGCAGAAGTTACACGGCCCAGTGGCCCCCGCTTCCAATCTAATAAAGTGCTCGAACAAAGCCTTCAGCTCGAAACAACTGATGGGCGCCGAGAAGGCGATATTAAATAAATTGGTAAGTAACGGAGCTGCAAAAGGTAAATCATTTAAATATGATCTTATTGATCTATGTAATAGCATAAAATAAAATAAAGAGAAATTAAATTTTGATCCAAGAGAACGGATTTAAAGAAAAAATAACTTTAAATATAATATACTAACATGTTCATATCATTATCTTGTTCCAACAATCTTGAGACAGAACCGTAGTCTTTTCTATTATTAAATTATTTTTATACGAACCTTTGTAGCAACCGAGTGTATTCCTCATCATTATAGAGAAAATATTTTCGACCTTATCGATTTTTGTACACTGTGTACTTACTTACTGATAAGCGGATGTGAAGCATGATATCAATGTAACAGTTATCTACATCCTCGGCACAATTCAACTGCCTTTCTAAATTGTTTATTATAAAGGATGATGTTGATGGTCTTCTTGCACCTATAGATAATAGGTGCAAGAAGACCATCAAGACCAACAAAGACCTCCCTCTTAGGACGCCACAATGATCGACCTTTTACCTTTTGCACACTTGGGAGGGTCCCCAACTGCTGATTCACTGGCATTCGTGGACTTGCCTTCACCGACGTTTATCAGTTCTGTGTGGATGTGATGTGGTCTGACCGCAAATGTTGAATCGCCCCTTTGTGCTGTTTCAGAAATTCCCATCGCAGCCAGTCATCCCTCAGGATTACATAACGTACCTATCCTGGTGTTCGGACGACGCGTACCCAGGCGAGGTCGAAGTGGCGGCAACCTTCCTATGCATGTGCGGGCTAATGGTCGACAAGTCGCTGTGTTCGCAACTCCCATCGGTGGTGGCTGCCGCGTGCGTTAGAAATGCCCTTCTGCTGTTGAGCAAGAGGGATTCCATGAAACAGCTTCAAATGTCCCCGGTGTAAGTTACTATGTCGCATTCACAAGCTTTCGAACTAACGGAGTATGCAGACCATTCTATTCCATTCTAAGCCTTAATGCGTCTAAATAGATATAGCCTTGGAGTCGCGCAGGTGATTGTGATTTTTGCTCTTTAAATTTCGGCATAGCTAAAATGTGATTGGTGTATGCCTCTGGAATTCGACCCAAAGCCTTCTGACCGCCAGCACGACTTTTCTGCCGCTTGGTACATTCGTAATGATACTCGTACCGATATTGAAGATAAATACATATTGCTTGCATTATATATAAATGTACAATATGGTAACATATAAAAGTAACTTTTGAACAGTAATATCGATCAGAAAAATTTAGTCAATTTTATTCGTTGTTAATTTTTTATATTTTATAATTTTTAATGTTAAAAATTAACTTAAGACACCTAAAACCATATATAGTTTATTGACCTACTGAAATTTAATTAAATTATTAATTATTTATTACTTAAATTATTTTATTATTTAATTTGAAATTGCAAAGTGACAGGTGTATGTTCCACAGACCATCCAAAGGAAGACAATGTCGGGAAACTTAATCGAAATGTATTTACTTTTTTTGGTTTGTTTAAATTGCACTATATTTGTTACGATGTTTTTCCTTGTAAAAACCAAATTATTGGCTACCATTTACTGTGATAGTATATGGAGAAGCAGCTTTGCTGGTATTCACAGGAATTCAGTACCTCAATGTTTTCCTTCTGACATGTTACTGAAGCTAATTCAACCGAGATTTTTCGAACAAAACAAAATCTGATTTGTTGGAGAGTCAAGGAAACAGAAAGTTTCTTTTCAGCTATCAAGCTGCCGAGAAGAAGGCATCGAGTATGTGCTCCGTTTGCTCAGTGCTTCGCAGGGCTGTACGCTTAGTGGCTGGTCCGACGTACGAGTACAAGGCGCCCCTGGAGCACTTTGGGCTGGGCCCGAACTTCACAGCGCAGAAGGTCGTCAGCTACGCGAACGAGCTCGCTATTCTAGACGCCAGATGTACGGAGAATGATTATTGAGGAAAATACTTTTTTTTATTTACGTCCAATATAATGGTTGGTTGACTAACGTCGTTAAAAATGTATTTGTTGGGTCATTGTCGAAATCCCATTGGGCTGATATGAGTATGAATGACTCAATAATATGTCTATTTTTCTTAATGTCTTATTAAAAATATGTATTTTTCTGACGGCTTTGATTTTATATAGGAAGTGACATTATTTACAACATTGTAGGAAGTAATGGTTAACGATCGCTTTTAAGCTTCATGCGAATTTTCCGAAATCTAAAAATAGTGTGTAGATCAAGTATTCTGGAATAACTTTTTTTATGATTATTGAACTTATCTATAGTATCTAACATATTTTTCTTTACTACGTGATATATTTCTTCTAAATTGTGTTTTTTTCGTTAATAAACTTCTGCAAAAGAGATCCTTGCATATACATTGTTAAACCGTCTTATATTGTATATGTCTTCGTCAGATGAGGCATGTTTGTGGTTTTAAGATTAAAGAGTTAATTTACCGTGTTATTTTCCTATTCTATAATTTTCTTAAACGCTATTGTGTTTTCATTGTTGTATGTATATATAGGGTACATGGTTTAATACATTTTTCTTCTCCATGTTATTGATTTTTTTATTAAAATGAAAGAAAAGACCCTTTTAAATCGCCCTATTTAAGCGACAAGAAGAGATTTTTAATATTTCCCGATGTTATCAGTTATATTAGACAGAATGACCTACGTGAATAAAGTGTTGCAAAACCAGTTTGATGGAATTTTATTAGTAACGGTGACGTAATACATCATTTTATATTACTCATAAACTTGTAACTAATTGCAAATAATAATGAAGTCATGAATTAAGACTTCCGCAGCTAACTACGAAGTTCTCAGTGTCTAGTCAATTTGAATGTTGGGAAAACATAAATCTGTCAAATTTAAAAATAAAAAAGGAAAGGAACTAGTTTGACCTTATCCAAAGACTTCTAAAGATGTTTAGAGACCAAGAATTTCCCAAAACAGAAAGTTTTGACTTCATTGTGTTTGGTGTCAATGTAATAAATATGGTGTTTTATGAAGTTAAAGAAATATCAATCTGATATTTTGATAATCTTGCTCTATTTAACCTTGTAAAATTAGTCCCAAATTTTTCTCAAATAAATGTTTAAAAATGTAAAATTTTTAGATGATATGTACCTGGTCAGATTAATTTGTTATTTCACGTGAATTACTGTAGTTTAAATATATGGCAATAATAAGTACCTGAAACAAAGTAAGAGAATAGTTAAAAAAAAAAAATATAAAGAATAATATAATATAGACAGATACTATATTATCATAAAAATACTAAACATAGTCTCTAGATTTTGTGCCTAAAATGGAGAATATTTGCTAACAGATGGTATAATATGATGCAAACTGCACAACACAGTTAAGTGAAACTATTTGCACGGATTTATTGAATTTAATTTGACAAATTATTGATGTCGTTTCGATACACAAGTTCACATAATAATGTCGTTGGATAAAGCATCAGGAAAAGCAAAAAAACCGGCTAGTGTGGAAAAACCAAGACCAGATATATCTATTATGTCGTTCATACAACACGTATCAAGTGCCAAGAAAAAAACGGAGAAGGAATAAGCTACTTTATCAAGGCGAGACAGAGCTTTAATTAGATAGTTTGCGTTAATTCCACGACGAGGAGCAGAATTGTTTACGGCCAGTCGGTCCGGATGAGACTTTGGTACCAGTGCTCACAAGTGCAGTTTTGTTTTAAGGCATACAAGTATTGTTAAATGGTATTAAAAGTTATTTGTCAATCGTAATTTATAATTTTTGCATTCATTCTTTTTGATACGCGTACATTCTAATAATATAATGTTATTTATAGGTAAGTAACGACTTAAAGTATTTTTTGTTTACTAATCCGAAACCGCCCTAAGCATTACGTATAAATTTTGTCACTACTTACTCTTACTCGATGCGTTGTACTAAAAATGCCTCAATATTTTTTTTGTTTACAGTCTTAATAAGTACTTCTGTTTTAATATGGAACATAGGGGCACAGAGGTCTCAGGACTCTTTCGGGTTCGGAATATACTCGTCAAATTTAGATTTTCTCCGTAACAAAATACAAGGTGGTGTGAGTGATACTTTTGGTGACCCTGACAATGCGTTCTCTAGAGCTTACCCGAAAGATACAATGCAATCTGGCATAGATAATGGATTTGGAGCTAATAGTAGAGTGGAAAATAACCAACAAAAGGTACTAGACGGACCAACTTACAATTCGGGTAAAGTCCAGTCACTACAAGGGATTTATTCGGTCAACGTTGAACCACAATCGCAAATATCGCAACAAAAATCTGTGTCTCAGCAACAGAGTTATCAACAAACCTCTCAATTTCAACGGAATAGTTACCAACAAAAGGAGCAATCACAACAACCGACTCGTCAACAAACTGCTCAAAATACGCAAACACAACAGCAATTATATCAACAGAACGTACAGCCACAAGAAGAGGTTTATCAACAAGACGTGCAGCCACAACAACAGCTTTATCAACAAAATGTGCAAGGACAACAGCAGTTATATCAACAGAATACACAAGCACAACAACAACTGTATCAACAAAAGGTGAAACCCCAACAACAGCCTTATAACGATGCGGACTATTATTCAAAGAACAGAAACACGCAAACTACAACAGATAAAGTTTTCTCAACGAAGTTTGGTGACGAGAGCACAAGGACAGGAAAACCGAAACAAAATTCACATTACAATAACGCTACGTTCGCGATTACCCGATTTGGTTTAAAATTGTTTAAGGTAAATATTTTAAATATTATCCTTCTAATATCTTGATTTCATTTCGCGAATTCTATTAAGGATTGGGAGTAAACGACAGTAATTAAATAATTATTATTTGCCATGTATAAAGTATTCTTAAAACTATTTATAAAGTTTTAAGCCACTCCAATACCCCTCTTCATTTCGCTGTACCGAATATATAAAATCTTTGGAATGTGGAAATGCATTATGTTATTAATACGGTACAAAGATTTGGAAACAATTCGCTACTTCCACCTGACGTACAAAAAAAATAACAAGAAAATCAGGCAACTTATATATATACTGATTGCATTTCCTATTAACACCTAGATCTGATGGAAAATGGTTGTTCAGTCCTTGAAGGTAAAAGTTTCATTCAATAGAAGTATATTATTGCTATGAAGACGGATAAAAGGAGATCGTTACACTCCTTCAATTTATTTGACTATAATGCTGTATGCATTATAATTGATCATGAAGCAAGTCACGTAATAGTCCATCATGCAATATGGACTATTACTCGACTTATGCAATATTTTACGGTGGTAGGGCCACGCAGCAGTCTCGGCTGTTGTTCGAATGGGCAGGCTCGTCCGGGTAAGTACCACGACCTCGCAGAAGACCGGCGTAAAGTGGAAGTATAATACTTTCGCGTTTCGTCTGGTGAGTGAGGTGGCCGGAGCCCAATTTTCAAAAGGTTGTCAACGCATCTGGAACCCTCGGGTGTAGCAGATGTCCATGGGCGGCGGTATTCACTTACATCAAGTGAACCGTCTGCTCGCTTGGCAACTTTTCACATTAAAAAAATGCTTGTTTAGAACGTCTTAATTGTCTATTACTGCATGACCAGTAAATGACTGACGTGATGTCCTTTTTTAAACATTTCTCAGATAGGAGTAACACTATATTTGTAACTGTTAAACGTGTTTCTGTGTACGATGTCTATCATCTTTCACTGCTAGTTTGTATCTATTTTAGACAATGAGTCGTGATTACCAGAACATCGTGGCGTCACCGTATTCCGTCGCAATGCTTCTAGCTCTCGTCCAACAAGGCGCTCACGGGGAAACTCAACAAGAGATCACGCAGTTGTTACAGCTCACGCCAGAGTCATCTGCGAGCTTGTTCAAGGGTCTAACTGATTTTATGAAGGTATATATATATATTTCGATGTGTTTATTAAGTTTGGTAGGCCTACACAACATTTTTCGCTGTTGGACGAATGGGCAGGTCCATCCAGGAAGTACAACGACGTCAAAGAATATCGGCGTGAAACGGAAGTATTGTACTTCTGTGTTTCGTCTGGTGCGTAAGATAACCGTAAGGCGGTTATCACTTAATTTCAGGTGAACCGCAAGGTGACTTGCCACCTTCTCACAAAAAAGTTATGTGCATAGAAAAGAAAAAAATTAAAGATCTGTAAACCTTACTAATATTATAAAGGTGATAGTTTGTATGTATGGATGGATGTTTGTTACTCTTTCATGCAAATACTACTGAATGGATTTGAATTAAACTTTACAATAATATAGCTTATACATCAGAAAAAGAAATAGGTTTTAATTTATATACATATTTTATGTAGGTATATCTGTCTTTCTGTCTGAATGTTACGCCTTCAGCGTATTCTACGCAGACGTAGTCGCGGGCAGCAGCAAGTGAATAATAAATCAGAGACGATTACGAAAGTGTGATCCAAATCTTATACACACTTTGTGTTACACTTGATACAAAACTTAGATTCTAATTATTTAGAATGTGTTCTTCTAATTTTTGCTTTTTATTTTTTTATCGCTAGGTAAGTGATACTGTCATAATGTAACGATGTAAATATATTTAACTAATCTTTATTACAATGTAATTAATACACACCATTCTAAAACTAGTCCATGGATTGACTTGATATTTGTTCACAACATAGCTATTGAACAGGAGAGTGTTTTGTATAAGTTTTATTCGAAATTTCCGATGGACACGGAAAAAAACCCAGCGAAGCAGGGCTAAGCTTATGTTATAATAATAACGTTGTATTCAGATATGATACATATATATTTCTAAGGCTGATTTTTATCTAGTGAAACTAACAAGCCGTTACACAAGACGAAAATTGTTGACAGAAACGCCATTCGCTCAACGTCCTGAATGTAGCGAGCAACGTCGTGCTGTCGAATAAGTTTAACATAGATTCCAAATTCAAATCGGCCGCATTGAATAGCTTCGGGAGTGACGTCACACGCATGAATTTCAACAACCCTTACGATGCGACGAAAAAAATAAACGAATGGGTGGCAGGAAAGACGGGCCAGAAGATCAAAAATTTATTAGCGCCAGGTATTTATAGCATATCATATAGCTTTGAGTGTATGTCGCGTTTTTAATTTAAGACCAGGCCCGCCTAAAATACATGTTTAACTCTGACTGTTTAACGTTACTTATAAGTTTGTAGTATTCAAATTGTTGGATTCAGGTGTCTCGCTCGTCGGTATCTCGGCCCTGACTTGCGGGAAACACTGGACATGACATTTGAGCAGGGTTTGACAAAAAAGGACCGTCAGCGATAGTAGCGTTCTCTTTTTAAGTATATACGAGCCAAAAGCTGGTGGTGGCCATCAAACAGTAGTGGTGGGAAAAACGACATGGATCATGGAAGCTGGTTATTGGTAAACTCAACCTAATCTTCTAGGTAGTGTTCTAATCTTCAACGTAATGTTCTCCTTCGTGGTAATTATAAGTTTACATGTATGTCTATATATATGTAACCATACATGTATCATAATCATCATCATATCAGCCGTAGGACGTCCACTGCTGAACATAGGGCTCCCCATTGACTTCCACTTCGACCGGTCGTTAGCAGCCTGCATCCAACGCGTCCCAGCGATCTTTACTAGTCGTCCGTCCACCTTATGGGAGGTAACTCTGTCTGTCTGTCTCGCTTTCACGTCAAAAACTACAGAACCGATTTAAATGAAATTTGGTACACAGATAGTCTAGAGCCTGAGAAAAGACATAGGCTATTTTTAAATTGGAAAAAGGGTTGTAAAGGCTTCAACGCGAGTGAAGCTGCGGGTGAAAAGCTAGTATTAAATAATACATATTACATTTTAATGTAATGAGAAAAGCCCAAATGTCTTACTGGCGCATACACGGGGTGGATAAATAGTGCCCGTAAGAACTAGTTCCTCAACGAGTAAGGATTTTCTGTTATGCATATTGGTGTTACAAAATTTCTGGTGATCTTAGTTTGTAAACCATAAAGATTAACAGCTGCACTCGCGACACTTTCATTAGAAAGTTACTCGCACTAAATTCTTAATGAGGCTAGCGAGGTATTCTGCTGCTCCATGCGACCACGTGTACCTTCGTTCGAGAAGTTAACATCATATCCGGTATATAGTGTTGCCAGCTATAACATAACGGTTCGAATAGTAATTCTCTGCAACACACATGGTCGTGGGACGGACTGTGGCAATCTAATGCGGCAGTAATCAATACGTATATGTATTAACTTTAAAAAATAAAAGGCGATAAATTTTCAGAACTAGCTTTACTTAACAAATTATGTGTTTAGAGTCGCCGTAATCAATATATATATTTTGAAATTATTGAAAACAAAAAATGAAAAAAGAACACAAAAAGTACTTTAAAATCGAAATCAACAATCTTCATTACTTTTTTGGACAAGAGCTGCGTTAAAATCGTACTCTATTATTTTTTACAGACGCTGTGCAACAGGACACTTTGGCGATGTTGATCAACGCTGTGTATTTTAAGGGAGTGTGGCAGAAGAAATTCAATCCCGAAATGACCACGCAAAAGGAATTCACGCTTAGCGACGGCACCAAAACAGTTGCTTCATTCATGCAAGCGCGAAGAATGTTCCAGACGGACATCGATCCTGTCATCAAATCCCAAATCCTGTTACTGCCGTTTGATGTTAGTACTGTTAATGTTCCCGTAGATTTACTTACCGTGGATAGAAGTGAACTACAAAGAATCCCCAAAGCCTTCTGTCGAGAGCCCGTGGTCTTACTTACTCTCTTCTCTACATACTAAATGGCAGAAGTGGCTTTGCGGTGCGTTAGTTTCGCGAGTAATTGAAATCTTTACTTTTCACGTGCCCGAGTTTTCTGTTTTGTTATGTTTTAACCGACTTCAAAACAGGAGTAGGTTAGGTTTAGTAGGTTCTCAATTCGACTGTATTTTTTTATGATGTTTGTTACCTCAGAACTTCCGACTGAGTGGATTTTGACGATTCCTTTTTTATTTGAAAGCTAGTGCTGGACCCATATTAATTTCATTGGTATTGGATCTTGACCTCTGGAGATACTTAGGGAACTCCTCAAAATCACTAATAATATAATAGTCTTTAAAACACAATCGTTCCTTTGCAAGTTTGTTTTAAATTTAGCAACAGATTAATTTTAAACGTTTTCTGGGATTTTGTTATAAAAGCTTATAAATTTTGTTTTGTGTGTGTTATGGGACACATAAAAAGTTTGACTTATTCTACGCAATCTAGTTGAGGTTAGGACAAATTTATGCTTGTTCCTAGTATTTACATCATGAACATCAATAAAACTTGAAAAGCCATTCTCATTTTTTACGGAACAGTGGATTCAAAATCAGTTCAATGTGTTCAACGGGTTCTTCTAACATAGTGATGTTTTTTGTTCCAGGGAACTCAGTACTCTATGATGTTCATCCTTCCATTAAAAGGAGTGTACGCGGTGGACGTTCTGTCATCATTAACGGAGCCACAGTTGTACGCCTATCACAAATTGCCCACGAAAGAAGTGAAGGTGGAGATTCCCCGATTCAACATTAAGAAGGACAGCGATATGTATTTCCTGCTTAACCTCGTAAGTTGACTGAGATTTTTTATTTAGAGGCAATTTTATATAGGGGTTTGTACAACGATAAAGTCAACAAAATGATAAAAGACGATGACTACTTTTGTATGAGGCGTTAGTATGTACGCCTCATGCCTAAAATCTAATGTACTAAGTTTAATGTACTAGATCAAGATATAGAATTTTTTTCTTGTTATTACGTTTAAAGCTGCTGATTTTGCCGATGTGACAGAGCTATTTCACTGGTAAGGTAGAAACAAAATGAATTAAAATATGTTAGTCATATTACATTTGCTGAAGTGACGAACTTTGGATCTTACACGGTTCCATCATAGTAGCAATTTCGAGTCCCTGGTTCAAAATGGCACGCAAGGAGCTATCGGTCATCCGTATAAGACGGTGTCTGCAGATGCCGTCACGTCTTGTAATAAACAAACTCGTTGACACGTGGGCAGATAAAAATGTGAGAAGGTGGCAAGCGAGCTAGCGGTTCACCTGATGTTAAGTAAATACCACCGCCCATGGATATCTGCAACACCCGAGGGTTTGTTTTATGCCACCTTTTAATAAATTGGGCCGCAGCTACCTCGTTCACCAGACGAAACGTAGATGTTCATGTGTAACACTTCCACTTCACGCCGGTTTTCTGTGGGTTAGGTCGTGGTACTCACCTGGATAGACCTGCCCATTCGTGCAATAGCTGAAGCTACAGCGTGGTCCTACCACAGTTGGATCACGCAATGTAATGTTCTCGTTCGCTTCGCAGCTCGGGCTTTGGAAGATATTCAGCACCGAGGCGGACCTCACCGGAATTGGAAAGCAAGAAGGGGCATCACCATATATCACGTCGGGTGTCCACAGTGCGGCGTTGTCCATTGACGAGCAAGGCGGCACCGCGGCTGCCGCTACAGCCTTCTCGGTAGTTGCCCTCTCTTACGACGATCCCACTACCTCGTTTACGGCAGACAGGCCGTTCCTCGCCATACTGTGGGACAACGAGCTGAGCATGCCACTTTTCATGGCCAAAATCGAGGACCCCACGGAGTAGATTTGTATTTTTTTTATTTCATATGGTCCATAAGTCCTATCTGTAGCTCGGTAATAAAGATTTGTAATTTTTCTATCTCTCGTCAGTTGTAGGCGCTATCACTCCTGAGTATTTTTAAGCTTAGCGTACTTATACCTCAGAGTTACGGCCTCACTTTCCTGATAAAGATTACCGTTGTTATTATTCTTCCCCGTCGGTTTTAACTAATCTTGCAGACATACTCCTCGTCCAACACGACTAATAACAAAATGCAGTTAATTACTCATATTTACCAATTGTTTTCCCTTCATACGATTAATACGATTTTAAAAAGTAAGTTACCTGTCTACGCCAAATAATATTAAAATAAAGTAAGTCAGATGTCTGTGGAGGATTGTCTAACAGTGGACTGGATGAAATATTGATGTTGATAATGAAATGAAGTAATAAGCCTCGTCGTGCTAGATAGATCCTGAAGATAGTGCTTTTTTTAGGCAGCCTTCAGTAAATAAACAATTGAGAGCAACCGGACGGTTTATTTTTAAAATTTTTACGCCTCAACATTCCGTAAATAATAACTCGTATTCATGCCTCGGTTGACGCAACTGGCACCAAATCGCACTTTGTTGGTTCAAGGACAAGTATTCATATACATGCAATTGTATAACATCTGGGTTTTTATCAATGTGCAACTAATTTTTAAAGCATCTAAAATATAAAATCATACACAAAATTCAGTAAGGGTTTTTAAGTCACACTTTTATTATGTTCACTTGTATAACGTCTAAATTATTCGGAATTATATACTGAGATCCTTCTTAAATTCCAATGATAATACAATAATTTAAAAATTTTATATCCACACCAGGATCGTCACCTTGCGGCAAAAAGAAATATATTGTATGGCAAGTCACGCTTAAATGTTTAATGTCAATGTCATTATGATGAATCGCTGAATAAACAACATAAGAGTTGTTTTTTTGGCTTAGATTACTATACGTCGAAAGATTATTGGCATTGACTCGTATTAATTTAGCGAATTGTCATAACGTAAACAAAGTAATGTTTTTTAAATGAAAGCAGCCAATTTGAAATGCCTTTATTAGCGCTAATCAGATAGCATATTTTTTTCTCTTGAACCTCTTGAAGTAATTGACGAGGGGGTCGTCGGGGAACACTCTCCATTTTTCCGTGTTGTAGAATCCCTCTATCTCCTGTAATGTTCGGCCTTCCGTCTCTGGTAAAAAGAAGTACAGGTATACCGCGCCCAGGAATCCAAAGGTGGCGTAAGTGGCGAACGCGCCCCATAACTTCAAGTTCGTCTCGAGATCGATGAAGGTCTTCGAGCCGAGAAAGCTGAATATGTAGTTGCTGGCTGCCGCTACACCTTGCGCGGAGGCACGACTCCTAAATACCATAAAGACGAGCTGAAAGATTTGCCCATAGTCGGCAACCTATATTCTTAGAGTTAAAGACACGAAACAATGTTCAATTTAAGTAAATTATGGGTGACGGTGGGAAACAGCCTCAACTGATAAGTGATTATCACCCGTGGACCTCGACAACACGAAGGTGACGTAGATCATCCATCCACAGTGGATGTCAAAGTTTGCAACGCATGCAAACTTTGAAATAAAGAAAAGCCCTAAAATAAAAAGAAAAGCCCTAAAGTTACTCACTCAACAGACGAAACGCTAAAGTCTAGATACTTCTATTATACGGCAGTCCCCTGTGTTTCATTTTGTTAATGACAAACTGGTCATTAATGCAGCACAAGAGGCTGCTACTAGAGGATAAATAGTAAAACTTTAATTATAACCAGTAATGATGCATTTATTGCAAACGAGGAAACAAGGTGCAAGTATGAATCCAATAAAATATCGTATTTGTGCGTGACAACGATAGATCAATTAGAAGAGTACGTGTAACAATACATTTCCATTTCCTTCGGTGAAGTAGCCGTAAATAAAGACCTATCAATACTAATAATGTTATGAAATATCTGTTTAATATAATTATTTTTAGAATTTTCGTCTGTCCATCTGAAAGTGTCTATCGAATCGGTTCCGGAAAAAAAATAACGGTATTCGAAACGGGAGGCGAAAACTTAAACGTCTAATACAAGAACTTTTACTTCAATTCTAGTTTTACGAGGTTTGAATAGAAATAATTGTAGTAGACATGTGACATTGAAGTTAGCATTTTGATTCCGTCACTGGTTTCTGGACCATTCGTGCCAAAAGACGCCCTATCACCTTATAAGCATAAGGTAGTAGATAAATAAAAATCAAAAGATTCGTCTTACCTGAACGGGAACACTTCGCCCAGTAACACCCACGGCACACCCAATCCCGTGAACATCGCCATCAAGTAGAATAATACCAAAGGCACTGCGCTGGTCTCCTTCGGAAAGGTCTCGGTGTCGTATGAGTACACAGAATCGTCGAGATTCCCCCTGGCGTAGACGCTGAGGCCGACGCAAGAGATGGCTGTACCGAGCATCGCCGATATTGCGAGCTTTCGCTTGCCAACCGCTTTTATCAAAGCTATCACCACTAGGCTCGTGAGGAAGGTGATCACGCCAACTATCAGCTAGAATTAAACAATTGGAATGAAATAAGATAATTTTCATTTGCATTTATTTAAAAAAAAAATACCTATATTGTAGGATGGATGAACTCCTGCGTTGTAAGAGCGTTTTGCTTACATAAATTTCATGTGGACAAACACCCAGAGCCGGAACAATTATCTGTGGGTTACACAAATAGTTGTCCCGTGTGGGAATCGAACCCAAGACTCCCGACGCCGAGGCACTACAACTGCGCCACGGAGGGTACAACGGGACAATAGTAGTCTATGCAATTGGCATTTCCATAAGGTTTTTTAAGATATGAAAATCAGATTGTCAAATAAAGTGAGCGCAGATAATTTTTTTCCTTTATTAAATTCCACAGCGACGACCATATAATATAAGGTGTGACTTAAATTGGTTTCCTTCGTTTTCCAATTCAAGTTTTAGTGATTTTTAATAATTTTTTTCTGTACATAGAATATAAATTTGATTTTATGAATAAGCAACAAGCATATGCTAACAGGTAAAAAAAATGTTTATTTTTCATTTCAAACATGTTTACCTGTTCGCAACCCTTGGAATTCCCCAGATTGTATCTTAAGTTTGCAATTAACATAGCCATTTATTTAATAAGACATATGAAGTATTAAATAATACCCACCACGACGTCCTTTCCATCCTGCGACATTCCGAGCGCTCCGCATATATTGACCATGTTCGGTCGCACAGGAGTCAGGCCGCTCATTACGAAGAAAAGGAAATACATCATGACCAGGGTGAGGGGCCTGAGAGTCTCCTTGCCCAGCATCACGTACCAACATTTGTACAGCGATCTACAATAGTCGAGAATCATTGAATGCTTAATGACCGAGTCGTGTCATTCCAGGGTATAAGTGAAATAACTAAACTTAATGTGAAAAGTTAAACGTCAGTAACATCAGTACTATAATAAATTTTGTTTTAGATTTTCGAGAGGTTGTCTTGTCAAAAGGTTTTATAAAATTTGTTTTTACGATTTTAACTAAAATGTGAGGGATTTTCGAATAACATCAGACTTCCAATCAAAACCGGCAGTAAACAGAAAGAAGAATATAAAGCATTGCGTGCACTATATGCATTATTGTGTGTGCAAATTAATGTTATGTAGGAAAATATATGAAGTATTGCGTATATTTTGATCTGTAAAAGTGATTTATATAAGTGATAATAAATGCATAATATAATTTATTTGAAAAATATTCAAGATATTCCAGAACACTTTCAGATACTATAACGCAACCAATTCATATTGGTTGACCATAATTTATTTAATAAAATGTTTTCTGATTCTAAATTCTAATGATTTAAATGTAATTGATTTGGATGATAAGTTTCGTTACAATACATTTGTATTCATGATCAGTTTGATTACAATGCAATACCTTTTCGCCGCGTTCATCCTGTAATGCTCACAGACTTCTTTCATCTCCTGACCATGAAGGCTCTCGCAGATGGCGCAGTTCTGCAGCTTCTTGCTGTACTCCACCAGCTGGTCGAACTCCTCTCTCACGTTGTCCGGCGTGGTCCATCCTCGTAAGTAGCACAATGACCTCAGGGCTTCCTTCTCTCTGCCTTTGAACAGCAACCAGACCGGCGTCTCTGGCACCTGTGACAGCCGCACTACCCGTTTACTAAATTAGAAGTAATAAAAATTATACTAATAGTACTTGAATGATATAAATGATTCATGCGTTCATTTTATTTCTTAAATAATGATTTTTAATATACAGCGTGTCGTTACCATCGCGACAATAAATGAACACACATATAGGGGATAACTTTTTAAAGTTGTATTAAACATTTAAATTCTTTAAACATCAATATTTACAGAGTTATTAAATTTTCCAAAACAAAGAATTTTAGAACACCCTTACCTATAAAAGCGTAACGTAAAGTTTATTTGTAAAGGTCACAAAGCATATGAATGGGTTGAATGAATTTAAAAGAGACAAAACATACTGTTAGAAGGAGAGGCTGTGGCGCGAGTTGTATAAGATGTTACAAATTTTGTTTCTTTTTTATTTAATTAGTTTGTTTGAAAAATATTTTTTTTAATTATGGATTTTGTTTAACGTTAATATTTTTTTATGATTATTGGCAAGTAGCGTTAGACGTGTGTTCATTTATTGTCGCGATGGTAACGACACGCTGTATAAATAAATATTCCTCGGTTCTCATTTTATCTGTAATAATTTTATGTAATATGCTTATATGCTCAGCACTCAAATTCTCTTGATGTATATAATTACCAGAACTTTTGTTAATGTTGTTGAGTTTCTGATATGGAAGGCTTAGAAGCTTTGGATGCCTGCACTTCGATTCCTGATACACAAGCAACAATCAAAATCCATTAACCTAGTTCCATCAATATATTATAAATATTAGCACATATATGAAATTAGTTACTGACATGAATTCTGATTGAAAGTAGATGGATAACTTGCCGTTTGCGTGAAATAATTTATTTCACCATAAAACAATTCAGCAATGCATTATTTATCATTATAGTCCAACGCAAGAACTAGGTTATGACCTTAGCAATTGTAATCTCCAATTTATTTTTTGCATTGAAGAAAATGATATTTAAAGGTTTCATCATACAACATTTCTAAATATTTAATAGGCGCCTTACAAGTAAAATATTCAACTCGAATCGAATCTGTAAAATTGCTGCTACAGTTTTATTGATGAAGTGTTTCAAAGTCCTTGTATATATTAAATACTAGTAATTGAGTATGTACTTTATATCCATATCGTACAATGAAGTAGTGATTCGTACCTTTTACTTTATTCAAATTTGTTTAAACATATCTTTTTTATTTTTTTAACAGCCTATACATATCCCACTGCTGGGCAAATGCCTCCTCTTTTACAGGTCGCGGATTGGCGAACTTCACATATATTTTTACACGAATGTCCGGGTAAGTACCACGACCTAACAGAAGACCGGCGACAAGTGGAAGTATAATACTTTCGCGTTTCTTCTTGTGAGTGAGGTAGCCGGAGCCTAATTCCAAAAAAGGTTGTCAACGCATCTGAAAACCCCCGGGTGTAGTTAGCACATCGGCGACAGTATTCATTTAACATCAGGTGAACCGTCTGCTCCTTTCGCAATTTTTCACATAAAAATTATTTTTTGTTATTATTTCGAAAATATTCAGGTTTCATTACGATGTTTTCCTTTACCGTTGAGCACGTAATAAAGTCAGTGCTTAAAATTAACAATTTCATTGGTGCTGGCACCGGGGATCGCACTCAGGTTGCTAAAGTATATGAAATTAAAGGCGAGCGCCCGGACGCTGAGCACCCGGACACTGTTTCAACGTTAAAGCAGTTGAGCTTTATACATTTTTTGATAAGAGGAACATGTGACTTCAAGTACTAGTAAAGTTGAATGGGAAATTGCGTTAAGGTACGAGTTATTTTCAAAACTATGTGGCACGTTACCAGGAAGACGAACGCCATTGAACTGATGGGCACCACGAGACTGATTAGTGCAGCCCCCCTCCAGTCGACCACCGTCCCCAGGAAGTACATGGCGAATATACCGATGGACGTGAACAATTGCGTCACGGTACAGAGCGCGCCACGGACAGAAGGCTCACTAAAACGCGAACAGAATTAAACCTTGTATCAATTCTTGTTATATAAACGCAAATCTAAAAGTAAAATAAAAAAACTTAAAAGCACAAAAATATAATTAAATATACATACCTACTAGGACGTAAGGACGTAAGGTAAGAAGAAGAGAAGAAAATCAACCTTGAATAAAATTTTGTAACAGATTATATATTTACATTAGGCTTCAATCTCGGGATCTCAAGTTTTAAGACCAAAATTGACATAAATCCCAAATGTTATCATCTTCAATTTCTCTTAATCCAGCATGGTGAGATTGCATGATACATGTAATTCCTTTTTACATACTTGTACAATATTAAGAGTGTTTACAGATCTTTAAAGTAATAAAAACTGATTATATCGAATTAAACAATACACATTTTCGTATAAAGTCCAATTTAAACAGTGTATTATGTGATAACAGCATACTGAAACGGTTTTTATTGAGAGGTCTAAGCGTTTTACAAATTGAGGCAAAGTTTAATTCAAGGTTAATTTTCTTTTTTTTATTATGCATTTCTAAATCGTCTTGCTAATTAACTTTTATTCCAATCCTTGAATGTATGTAATAGTATCAGACAATATTGCTTATGAAAAGTCCTTGATCTAAAACTGTAAATAATCTATGATAACACGATCTTTCGAAATAGACGGCTCTACTGAAATAGATTTATTGTCAATTTTGTAACTGATAAAGTTCATCAATTGTGAAATAGTAATCTTTCTATTGTGTAATTATAAATTATACTTTAAAATGACCATATTTAATAAAATAAAAATAACTTATTATAAAACACAAAAAGATTTAGTGTATAATTAAAATTTAAATCAGAAAACCGACAGAGTGAGATCTATTTAAATGAGATGATATAATATATCTGTCCTTTTATTAAATGGAATATAATGCCCGCAAATTGTTAAAATGCGCCAAACGGTTTATAGTGTGCTAAAGATAAAGACACAAAAGAATAATATACATTCATGCGTACATATTATGTTTGTCTTTGTGTATACGCATGTATAAAAATCAGTACTCTTGTTTGGAAGTGGGGTAAAATGAAGAAAAATTGAATATATTTTACAATTTTGAAATTGAATATATTAAAAATTTAATACAATTAGAGAATCTGAAAACTCCATTAAACCATACAAATGCAACAATTCGGTCAGTAAGCATACAGAACGTCCGATTTAACTTATTTTACTTAGAAAACGTAATTCAATTTCTTATTGGTTCTTTTTTGCCAAGATTGACCGAATACTACATATTATATTTATACAATTGTTTAAATAACAAATCATTCCATTTACCTGATTTCTCCTACGTACGAGTTTATTGGCGCCTCCATTACACCAGTTCCCAATCCCAACAAAGCGTTGGCTATGAAAAGCGACGGCAGATTCCACGCGAAATACATAAGAATCCACGCCACCAGATGCGGTATATTGACCAAGAAATTCGCCCTCTTCCGACCACAGTAATCTACTATTGGACCCGAGAGCAACGCGCCAATTGGCTGAGTTAAGTATGAAAGGCTTCCTGGAAAATGAGAAACATAACACTAAGAGTACTATAAAATATCAATTAAGTAATAAAAATATGCAGTAAGCAGGAACATGAAGACAAAAGGATACAGCAGACAAAGCAAAGGATACAGAGTGAAGAAATATATTTTTGAGTGCGTCTTCTGCTCGTAAACTTTATTGGTGAATAAGATTCATGTTTATTAAATTTGTAATATTTTCATTATTAAATTATGGTTACTTTAATTTCTAAAATTTGCGAAGGTAAGAGAAATTTCGTTCCGTTCAATAATTGTTACGGATCGATCGATTGAACACGTTAATAAAATACTTTAAGTAGATGTTGAGCTTCGGTTATTTTCTAGTCAAAATTGTCTTGAGAATATTATAATATGTATCTTGAAAATTCATATTAGATGCTCGATCAGGAAGGAGACAAAATCCGCTTATCCTTACCAAACCATGATGCCTGCGTTTCATCTAAAGATAATCCCTCGCTGGCGTTAAGAAGACTTGGTACTGCTATTGTGGCAAAACTGATTGCCATACCGAGATCCAAGAGCAGAAAGTTTGGCGGCATACATGATATAATCTGAAACAGGGTTTATGTTTGGAAATATTGTCTTTCTTAAAATCACAGGTTTGCTTTGCCTGATGTATGCCCTTGTCTACAACTCGGTATACTTCCACGTAAAATCACCATAATAATTTTTTGGTAATTTTGTTTTGTGTTGACGCTTTCATTATTTCAGACTGTTAATCCTTCGTTTATTGATTTGAGAGCAAACCGCAGTCGCTCATGGACATATTGTAGACAAGAGCCGACACGTTGTCGGGGTTATGTGGTTGGGTGTCCGGTTACTTCACTCACCAGACCAAACGCAATATTATAAATGTTTCTTATGTGATATCATATCCTCTTTCTTCATCATTTTCAGTTCAACGCAAAATCTATGTCGCGTCTTTAGCCCGGGGAAAACGTATCGCGATAGAGATCTAAGTTTCCGTGGCCATGTTGTAATCTATGTTCTGCAAAGTGCTTTGTTTATCTTATTAATTATATAAAGCGAGGTGTGGACCTTAGTCTTTAGCCTACTTGATAACCACGGCTTTCATATTCCTTGTTCCTTAGTAAAATGTGTTTATATTGAATTCCTATAACTTTAAGGATATGTTCTACTTCTAACACTAAAGGAGAAAAAAATTTCATGCAACATGGTTCATATAACTCATAGTTTTGAAGACAACACGGGCTGTCTATGGTTGCTGGCTTGGTTACACGCGAGTCACTACGGCATCTTTTTAAGCAAATGAACATTTTAACGTTCCCGTCGCTATAAATACTCGAAAACGTCATGTATGTACGTAATAATATCCACTTTTCTACAAAAAAACATACTAAATCGCGTCAGGGCCGTCGTGACAATCTGTACCTGGTGAGTACCGAGGTTTAGACTGGCTAAAAACAGAAAGTAGTTTCTTGTTAGATGTATTGCCGTTATAGGTGAGATTCACAAACAAATAAGTATAAACAATTTCAAAATTTTATAAAAGCTACCCTAATGGAAAGGGCCTAAGATAATGCCGAAGAATACATTAAGGACAAGGATGTGTGGAAATGACTCTTGCTCTGCACTTGCAAGTCCCCTGGCTGTTGCTGACTTTATACTATGTTAATATTGCACACTTGACTCATAAAAGAAAAGAGGTAACAAGATGGCAAAGTTTCTTGGCGGGCATTATCGGCTTCTCTGGTCAGGTCTAGTTTAATGATTCCGTAGTAGTTTTTTTGACGTTCTGAACTGAGCTTAAATTTTTATTTTTTATTTATATTAAAATATTATTTTTTTATTCAATATATGCTTAATATATTGAATAAAAAATTAATTTTGATTTTCACACAGATTTTCGTTTAATTAGTAACCAAAAAGTCTCCAGAACGATGACACTCATTCATTAACTGTAGAACCGATGAATTACATATCAGACATACTACACTCGTCAATCTAATATATTTTAGTGTTTTGCAACTAAATTCAATATGCGACGTTTTCAAATTTCAAGTAAAGCTGTATTTATGTAGACAGTGTCAAAATGAAAAACAAAATTAATTTAACAAATATCCATATCATGGTTTCTTTCTAATAAATGGTCTCATTCAATCAAACACGTATAAGCGAGGTAGGTTTATCAAGTATCTAATGTGTATTACGTGAAATAGAATTGTTATCGGTTTGGCTTATGCTAACTTTGTCTGGCAATAAACAAGGATGTAGCTGAGTGGATAATGGCTTGGTAGCGCTCTCCATTCGATGTTCAATTGTCCGTCTATGTATAATATCACATGGTGAACTCTTTAATGGTTTGAGTGTTCTCGAAGCGGCTTACTGTATGGCCACATTTAGGTTATTGTTTTTCAACTATTTTTGTCAACAATTTTACTACACCGATTTACATTTTTAAATTAAATATAAATACGACCCTGCTCTTAAAACATTTTATGCGATTAAACGAGTGTGGAACTATTCATATATGCCTTTATAAAAAACGGTGTTTCTTGAAAAATAGTGGGAAATAAAAATAAAAAAGCAAAATAGTGCTTAAAATTAAAGCAAATTAAAGTTGATATGACATTCTACGGATTATGTTAAGAAGACTATTATAACATCCTTATTAATAATTATAAACGCGATAGTTTGTATGTATGGATGGATGTTTGTTACTCTTTCACACAGAAACTACTGAATGGATTTTAATGAGACTTTACAATAATATAGCTTATACATCAGAATAACACATAGGCTATAACTTATAAAGATATGTGTGAATTGTCAAAAATATGGGTAATGATAGTCAACTAAAGTAGGAAAAAATTCAGTCATCTGCGAGATATTTTGGTGTAAAAAAAAAACTCATTGCTCAAGCCGCGGTTAACAGCTTGTATTACCATAAAACAAAGCATTATTTACTTGCACACGAATATAGTAATATCGATATAATTCGAGCCACGTGAAGGGCATCCATGCAGCCTTACGATATAAAAAGTGTCAATTGACGTAACACGATATTTAAACCATCATCTTTAGCACAATTTCAATTATGCTTACCTATGTGGGTATTAGGCGCACTGTCTCGTGTAAAAATCTGTCCCACATTTTTATTGATGTGTATATAGCTTATAATGTCATTATGTTAAGTGTCTTAGTTATCGTTTACATTATAAAGATTGCTTCTTTGTCTCATAAGTGATGCACAATGTTCTGCAATGTATACACGCGTTAAACTTCCTTCTATTAAAATGTAAATAAATAGTATTGTTATCTGTTGCGATGATGAACACATTACTAACATATTGCCCACATTATGGAACTGGTCTGCAGACAGGGTGAAAACGCGATGACGTTCAAGAAGAAAACTTTTACAGGTCTCTCGATTTTTGGCGATTTTTGGCTATTAATTTGGATAAAACACTTAATGGATGGATTCCATTAAGTGTAAATTTTCACTTTACATTTTGAATGATAATTATCAAGTCAACGCGTTTTACTTATTTGTTATGTAAGTTTGAAATGAAGATGAATTTCGTAAAAATTCTGATATTGATGGATAAAATCACTTCAAAAGTTAGTTTGTGGATATATATTTTGGATATATATATATCAAGTTTTACGAAGTGGGTATGCTTTATATGTAAATGATTAACTTGATATGTCTGTATCGTTTAGTTTAAGCTTTTTTCGTTACTTTTCAACATATTAGTCCTTCTCACTTGTTTTATTTTGATATCCTAATCCTTTGCAATGTCGATTGCATTGTCAGAGAAAATACCTAATCACTTAAAACCAGCAATTTTTTTGTCTACAAATGTCTACGTTTGTGGCCGATTGCTCCAATTTTCACGAGTGAAGAACTGACAATGCGCTATAATTCGCTCGCGTATACTTATTCTTTTCAATTCTATCAGACCGTTTATTAAAATAGATATGAAATAATTGGTCAATATTTGTGGGTCATTGGCACTCATTGATGTGTGATTGGCAGATTTTTTAAATTTAACAATCGCAAACAGATATATAGTTTAATATAAGAAGCATTGAATAAATTTGATTCTTATATCGTATCAATAATTACAGAAAATCGTTGAGATGGCAATTGACAGTTAAATCTAATATATATAGAATAATACAAAATTGTTTTAGTTTTCTATTATCAAATTCATATACTTAATAATTAATACTAATAAACATAAAATCATTTTATGTTTCATAAAATAATGAATTCATAAAATAATTACTACTATTAAACCAAGTATTATTAATATTTATCAATTCACAAAATATACCTACTTGAAAAAAAAAATCAGATCGGATCTTTTACGCGAATGATGATTTTTTACAAAAATAACAATTCTTTTCTTTTTATTTCATTTTATTGCCAAAAATTCGACAGGTGTCGTCTACTTACGCAACGTAACATCTTTAATATAAAAATACAAATTAAAATTTAATAATTTCAAAAAAATCTATATTTGAAAAAAAAAAAAACACAAACCTGTGATGTCACACATCGTAATCTACTGACTGGGGGAATAATTTGTTCTTGCAGTTTATTCACCATTGTTTCCCATTAACATTAACAGTTTTAAATGGCAAACGGTTTTAACGTTTTTTTAATGAATATAACATTTAATATACAAAGTTTACTTTCACTACTATGCACAGTTAAATAATGTCATTAATTTGGCGGTAAAATAGGTTTTATTTTTTTCTCTCTCATTCAAGCCACACGTTCACCCAAGCATTGTGAAGTGACTGAATAACTACGGTGCCGACAAATTGTGAATGGTGTGTTACGAAATTGTAGTTCATTTATGTGTGCGGATAGTCTAATGTCACTCTTATCACTAGTTTGAAATAGTGTTTACTTTTCAACGGGCCCATCAGTTTACCTTTACGATGTAATATTCAACTTATCGTTTAGTCTTCATCACTACATAGTATATAAAAAAAAGTCGTCCCGCTGTCTGTCTGTCCCTATGTATGCTTATCTTTAAACCTACGCAACGGATCTTGATGTGGTTTGTTTTACTAGATAGAGTGATTAAAGAAGTAAGTTTATATGTATAATACATTGCACCCGTGCGAAGCCGGAGTGGGTCGTTAGTTTTAATAATAACTTAAACTCTCGACTTCGTCCCCGTTTACACCATAAAAAGTATAACTTATAAAATTCTAAATTTGTGGGTACACATTGTTTACGTTCAACCAGTTTTTAAATAAATTAGCCCATTTTGAATAATCTAATCGTACTTTTTTATTAGTCCAGTAAGACTTACGAGTTATTTTATGTTTTGCTTTTCGAGTAAACAGAAAAAATCCAGTTCCAATTTTGCTAAATAATAATCAAAGCTATTAGTATGTATATAATAGCTTTGATTATTATATATTATTATAAATATAATTTAGCATCATCAGCTCATTTTAATTTGTTATATTATATTATGTATAAAGAGGACGTGCAAAATTACTGGTTGATGTTTTCCTTTCATAAGATATTTATTCAAGTGTCACACAAGTTACATTAAATATCAAGTAAGTTGAATGCGACAAGACTATGTGATTATAATAATAATAATAATATAGTTTCAATGTTTTCTTGCTTAAATTTTGAAATAATGATTTATTGTAAAAAAAATAATTCTTTAAATAAATAGTCTTGTACTTATTAATAGCTGCAGAAGAAAAATAAACATTGTTTTATATTAAAAGAAATAAACTTAAAATGATTTTTCGTATATCACATAATATCACAAATTTACAATTAATTTGTTTTAATAGACAACGATTGTATGGCGAAAAGTATATCACAATTTTTTCTCGCCAAAGGCCATACAAAAACCCACGAATGGGAATTTTTCTTTTGATTGAAAAAGTGGTCCTTGAGCATGGGGTTCGAAGAGAGTAAGCCCCAGTTACCTCACGCACTAGAAGAAAGTCGAAACTATAAATACTTCCACTTAATGTCGGTGCTCTGCCAGATAACCTTACCCAATCGTGGAATAAATAGACGTAGAAGCTGGTGTCTGGTCCTGTCATAGTACTCATGTATACTTTTATAACCTTAAGTATTATTGTAAATGTTTATTATACTTAATTTTTCTCCATAAAATACTTAATCCAATTTTAAATTGTATTTAATTCTAATAATAATTAAAGCCGCACTTTGCTTTAATCGTTGTTTACATAACTATACTTAAAAATTAATCAATAAATATTTCATTGATAGCATTCACTGCGTTACGTTTTTCCTTTTAAGCTTCTTGATGGTGTTTATCACCGGATCGTTAGCGAACGTCTGAATCTTGTCGCCGTTAAAGAAGACCTCGATATTCTCCAAGCTCATTCCCTCGGTTTCGGGGAGGAAGAAGTACAAGAAAATCGTCCCGACGTATCCGATAGCTGCGTAGACCGCGAACGTACCCCATAGCTGGCCGCTAAGTTCTAGATCTATCAGAGTTTTTGCACCGATGAAGGTGAATACGTAGTTGCTCGCCGCTGCGATTCCTTGCGCTGATGCTCGACTTCTGTGAAAAACATTGAGCTTCAGACGTCATGCAAATTGTCGACATATATAACTTTGTGAGTTATACCCGTCATTTTCTTACATCGTATTTTTATTTTGTTTTATTTTGGTTCTAAACTGCTTTCAATATTAAATTTAAACGTAAGTTTAAAACAGATAAGCTTTGCGAAATCCTAGCAGCACGAGAAAAATTTTTGGACAGCTCATTTCAACTAAACTCATAAATATAAATTTGGTCTTGAGAAGCGATCAACACTAAAATAAAATAAAATATATAAAAGCAGGAGCAAGACCTCTCGTTCAAATTTTTGTACGTTTTTAACGTTTATTGAGTGACAGATTACTGTTAAGTTGCTCACTAATTGGCGCGCCAAAAATTGCTAAATACATTTAACTATTCAACCCACATTTAAAGCGCATCCTATTTTTATAGGAGAAGTGCCAATGAGGTGCCTGCAGGTATTGGCACCCTTAGATATTTGGGAAAACGGCAATTAGAATAATTTGCGAGATATTTATCAAATAGGCGTTATGATTTGTTAGATAAACCAGCAAAATTGGTAAACATAAAAAATCGCCCTGCGTTTCAATTGTAAAAATTAAAAATTCAGCTGCATAAATTTTTTAAATCGGATCAAAATTTACCTATTATATAGCGATTTAGGCAGTAGATTTTTTTATCGATTTCTTAAAAGATTTCGAGGGTAGGTATTAAAAAGAAATGATAAATATCTGTTTTATGACTTGATCTGATCGTGAATTCATTAATATTGCTGAAAGAGTAGATGCAGTTCCAGTTTTGCAATTTATGGGCACATATCTGTGCAGATCCTTAAGGCGAATATTATATTTGCGAGTTTTGCCGTTAAATTTTAACAGGATGCCAAAGTATCGCTCTCAAGTCGCACAAATTGTAATTTGTAATTTTAAAAATGCTTATAACGTAATGTTAAAATAGTTGTAATTATTTTTTGGTTATTAAATTTATTCTAAAGTATAGTTAGAACACATTATATAGAATACCTAGTAAGAAAACGGTAAGACACTTGTTTGACACAAGTCTAATATTCATTACATGTGGAATAAAAAACAATGCAGGGAAACATGTTATTACTTCCTTCTCCTCTGCAATGAATGGCTAACCAGCAGGTGGTTTAGCAGATAATACGTGAAAGAGTGAGAGTAATATAAATTTGTGTGACCCACAGATAATTGTTCCGGATCTGGGTGTTTGTTTCCCAAGAAGGTTTAATGTCAGGCAGGCGGCCAGTCATTAAAAAAACATAGCCAAAACCGCCAACAACGCGATTATCATGTTATACCGAACCCATCTACATGGGATAAGATCAAGAGTATGATAATGATGATGAATTAATAAGATAGGTTCATCAAGACATTTGTACTCCTTCCGAAGTAATAGGTCCTATAGGTCCGGAGAGGCATAGAATTTAATAAACCCCTGGCAGACCACATGCATAACAATCTGTGAGTGATAATTTTACCTGAACGGAAAAACTTCTCCCACCAACACCCACGGCAAGTTGAACCCAGTGCAGATCGCCATTAAGTAAAACAGAATAAGTGGAACATAGCTCGTTTCTTTCGGGAAGGTGCTGGCGTCATAGGAGAACACGGTGTCGGCCAAATTCTTTTTGGCGTAAATGCTCAAAGCGGTGCACGATATGGCAGTGCCTAGTAAAGAAGCCATAGCCATTTTACGCTTGCCAACTTTGCTGATTAACAGAATGACGAGGATACTAGCGCAAATGGTGATAACGCCAACGTTGAGCTGGAAATAGAAATTGTTTATGTTTAAGCATGCATATTAAGTTATAACTTTATGTAGAAAGTAAGAGGATTAAATTAGCCACATATGTTGACTAGAGTCAAACTAATTTGGAATAACTGAACAGATAAACTAGGTAATTGAAGATGGACTAAAAAGCTTAATTTAAACTTCAATCGGCATCATCAGCTGGCGATTGAATTCAATAAAAGAATAAAATTTAAAGAACAATACCAAATAATTCAAGACCATAAGAGTACCACCAATATCTTTTGTGGTTATATTTGACGTCTTTCCCCAAGTAGTATTAGGGATACCATAGGCCGGTTAAATAAAAATGAATAGAAAAAGAGATAACACATCTTTCAAATATATTTATTTCAAAATAATTAAGATGTACAAGATATTTTTCGTTGTACCATTATCTATTACACAATATCTCTGATTGATCTCCGACTATAGCAATTATTTCCAATTCGTCCATAGTTGTAACATTAAACCTTTGTACACTTTCTTCAGCATGAATAACAATCTTTTATGTATCAGATAGTAATTGCTGTTTTGAAAAAGTTTTTCAATGAGGAAGCTCTTGCAGCTGATCAATGATGGATCTTTTTGTGTCGGTAGGAATTCGGTAAAAAGTATCTAAGACATCATTCTGTTTCACGGTTAGAAGACATACATTTGATCAGACAACAACAATAACGAATCGATGGATGCACGTGGTCTAGGATCATGCTATACAAACATAATGCACATACCAGGATCGTGGTTATAAGTCAATGTTCACGTTTAAAAGACGACGATGATGATGATGATATCACCTGAGAACGGAAGCAGGAAACGACTTTGTGACAAATTTACACTTTCACTTTGATAAGTTCAAAGGCTTATAAGGATCTGTTACGATTTCTACGTCTGCTGATTCCATTTGGAATCGTGAATTCTATGCCCTGATGGATTTGAAACGCTATGATTCGGTGTCTCATTTCAAGAAGTAAAGGCTTTGCCGGTTGTTGAAGTTGAGGTAGTTTAACTTTTCCGCAAAAAAAAACCTTTCGTTTTTTCCATTAGATTTCAATAAAGGAACACTCCAGTGATAGTGTTGATGAAAATATGTCAACTCAAAACTATATCATATACATAAACTATAATCAATGATTGGCTTGCACCGGAAAGCGATTATAATGGAGTGATTCCAGGAGGATGTCGGTGATGTCACGTTCAGCCTGTCACGTTCATTCTGTTGAAACTGAAGCAGATTTGAAGAAGAGCGAAGACAAACATGTACAAAGATTTCCAAGTATTCACTGCGCTGTTTCTGTGTCCCGAGTTTGACTTTCGTCAATGTATTGTTTTTAAGAGCTAAAACACGTCGATTGTGCTGAAAAAAGAAAGTTATGACATAAAAACAACCTATAAAATGTAGGTTGTTTATATATAATATAAAACAAAAATTAAAAAACAACACAACTAAAACTAACGTTCAATTCAAACCACCAATCAACAAAAGATCAATCAATGCAACTGATTCCAAAGAACCAAAAAAAAGCAAATTCACAATAAACTATTACTTATTTTTATTCAATACAGCCAATGACACTGAAAATAAAAGATGAAAATTAAAGATTTAAACATGAAAAGTTAAATTAAATCAAAAACATTTTAATAATGAGTAATACTCACTTAATGAACACGATAAACCTCAAAGCTCAAATATTACAAATCACTGTGAAATTAAATCGAAATTGATAAAATTATATTTTACAGAATAGAAAATCCTCTCCAAGAGACCGTAAAAAAGAAACAAAGCAACAAATTTTTAGTTATAATATTTACAAAATTCTACTCTTAATATTTTTATGATCAACAGGTGCAGTTCGTATTTATATTACTTTATTTATGCGTGGGAAAATTGGAATAAAGTCCACATCCCGTTTATTTTTATTTTTAATTAATAACTGATTATGAGCCGTGATAGCTCAGTGTCCGTGCGCTCGCCTTTAATTTAATATACTACAACCGCAACCTGAGATCGATCCCCGGAGCCGACACCAATGAAATTGTTCATTTTAAGTGCCGAATTATCACGTGCTCAACGGCGAAGGAAAACATCGTGAGGAATCGTGCATATTTTCGAAGTAATAACAAAAAATATTTCGAAGATATGTGAAGTCCGCCAATCCGCAGTGGGACCGCGTGGTGGATTATGCCCTGATACCCTCTGTACAGAGGAGGCCTTTGCCCAGCAGTGGGACGTGTATAGGCTGATACATTATTTTTACTGAATTATTAAAAAAATTAAATCAACAGAACAACAAAACAAAGAGCCCCTAATGCACTATTGGGTCAAAACTTGAAAGCAATCAGTAAACGAATTTTGGAAATAGCGGTTTGAAACAAACGCGAAATTAGTCGCTCTCTATGTGTAATAAAGAACAACATATATGGGAAACTTCTGGAGTTATGTATCAATTATTCATATCTATTATTAAACAAATTAACATGCTAATGAAGGTTAATTAAAGTAACAACCTATATCTCCGGACATATAGGTTGTGTTGTGTTGTATACCTTCTCTGCACAGATTGTGTTAGCCCATAGGCCACCACGTGAACCCACTGCGTTACATTCATCATCATCATCTCAGCCTGTTAGAGTCCACTGCTGAACATAGGCCTCCCTCATAGACTCCCACGAACTACGATCCTGAGCCAACTCCAGCCATCGACTTCCCATTATTTTTTTATTATTTCCTCTCGAATTAATTCGTGCATACTAACAACTACTTCCTTCCCGTCCTGAGCCATCCCGAAAGCGCCGCATATGTTCACCATGTTCGGTTTGATGGGCGTAAGGCCGCTCATGACGTAGAACATGAAGTAGACCATCACGAAGGTCAACGGTCTCAGTGTTTCTTTGGCCAACATCACGTATCTGAACTTGTAAAACGATCTAGAAGCAATGAAAATATAATTACTGTTAAAGAAATCAGTTGTAAACATTTAAAACGTATTTAGAAATAGGTTAATATATATTCAAGTTTGGATTTTATTCTTCGTGTATTTTGTTTTATTTATCTAATGTACAGGATGTTACTTTATGATGGATGACATGACATGTACAGGATGTTACTTTACTTTACTCCAGTTTTTTTATACAGATTAACCTATAATGTCTCTTACAATAAATTATTAATGTTTTTTTCGAAAATAATATAATTTAATTAAAGCTTTAACCAACAGTAATAAAATAAATATTATCGAAATTTATGAAACACTAGCGGCCCGCCCCGGCTTCGGGTGCAATGTATTATACATATGAACCTTCCTCTTGCATCAAGATCCGTTGCGTAGTTTTAAAGATCTAAGCACACAGGGACAGACAGCGGGACGACTTTGTTTTATACTATGTAGTGATGAACAGCAAAGAGACGTTTACATTTCAAGAGACATTTTACCACAGTCACTCACTTGTTTTGCCTTCCCGGAACTCCTCCACTAACATTTAAACTTTATGGTATGGTATTAAAGTTCAAATTGACTTTTAAGTATTGTTACGAAACTTTTGTATGGGAATATTGAAAAGTGTTGCTTTTAGACTTTTTCAGGTAATTTTTTCTCACCGTAAGAACATCGTACTTCAAGGAATATTATAAAAAAAGAATTAGCGAAATCGGTTCAGCTGTTCTCGAGATTTGCGCTTAGCAACACATTCAGCGATTTTATATATAGGTATTATTTATCATAGTATTTAAGTATTCATTTTATTATAAAGAATATTTATATAAACAGCTAAAAAAATACATTAAAATTATATAAAGAAATCACATAAAGTAACAATTTATAAACTTAAGGCAGCAATAAATTTGGTGGATACTTTTTCTAAAAAAATCAGCAATGAAACTCTTTCGATTTCTATTAAATGTAATTAAATTGCCTGCATTTATGATGGGCAAGTTAGAACGGTTATTTATTTTAATAAAAATGTTTAAACGCTTTTGTATGGATTATATATTAACTGATTTTTAACGAATGGAAATTGTTTTGAATCAATTTTAAATTTTCGTAATTTTTTTTATTGTACCAAAATGGCTTATGTTTATAATTTTACGTCTGCATAAATATTTAATTCCTCCATCCCAAAAAATTCTGAAGATGTCATCATAATTACCTCTTTATTGGATTCATCTTGTAATGTTCGCAGTCCTGTGTTTCCAGTTTGTGCATCTTGTAGCAAATGACACAGTTTTGTAACTTCTTGCTGTAGTCGATCAGTTGGTCGAACTCCTCCTTGACATGTTCTGGTGTTGTCCATCCGCGGAGCTTGCAAAGGGAATTTAGTGCATCTTTTTCCCTGCCTCGTGACAGTAACCATACTGGAGTTTCTGGTACCTGAAAGAAGAGTGGATGCCGTCAGGTTGCTATTAAATTGATTATACCCTTAGCTTCCTCTTTTTTTATTTGTCAAATGTGATGAGTGATGATATATGATATATCTGTCACACTTGGTCTGTCACGCCATTGTACCGGATTAGGCATCTGTTTAGCTAAATTAGTAAAAGGCGCACCCCTTAAACTTATACGACTATTTGATTTTTTTTTTGTATAGTTATTTTTCTTTGCTTTCATGTGGATTGGCAATTTCTTGGATTAAGTTAAAAGAATCTACAAAATCAAGGACAAAACTATTTTACGGTTATGTTCCGACGTATGCAGAGTGCTTACAGTATCTTGAGGTGTTGCAGTGCTAGAAGATAAATCAAAGTTGCAAAGTTAATGTTAGTTCGAGTTAATTTAATTTTTTCATTCTATCGTTTCATTTCCATGGCCTGGACAATAAAGGCCCGAGAAGGTCGTCTTATTGAATGAGTTATGTTTATCAATGACAAGATATTTGTACATCTTAACAATGTCAAGATATTTCCTTGCCAGGAAAACCTAGTCAAGTAAAAATATTTATCCAGATCGTTAACATATACCGAGGCCTAAGAGTTATAGTTAAAAATAAGAACATTTTGAGAGCTCTCGGATAAACTTGTTTTTGCATTTGAATGAAATAATCGGTACCAAAAATACCAGATATTTTAAAAATATTGACATGAAACTCCATTATATTTATAATCGTTTATTTTAACTACATATTTTGGGAAAAAACTAATATTTTTTTAATGAATTTATTTAGAAATTCAATGCAAAACGAATTATCAGTAAATAATTTTTAATCTTGTCTTATTAATTTCTAATACGCACGAACAAATATAATGATAATAATATTTGCCTTTTCTAACTTATTGCTTAGTTTCGTTTCCTCTCTGTACCCTCTGTGGGAATTTGAGAACCGATAGACTGGTTAAAATTTTGACCAACAGTGCTGAGCTAAATGAAATGGGCTACTTACTAAGAGCACCAAGGCCATAGAGCTGATGGGCACCACAAGACTGATCAGTGCCGCGTGGCGCCAGTCCACAATGGCACCGAGGAGGTACATGCCAAAGGTGCCAAAAGACAGGAACAGTTGTGTGAACGTTGATAGGGAGCCGCGGATTGACGGTTCACTGTAAAAGGTTTTTTCGTTATCGTAAAGATTTAGTTGCATGTAACTAAAGGTAAAGACAAACAACATTTTGCAATTGTTACAGACAATTTAGCTTGTGACGAATTCTAAAACAGTGTAGTTAATACGTGAAGCAAAAACTTTGTACCCTTTTTTTACGAAAATTGCAGGTAGGAGTATGAAAAGACAATGGCGAAAAAATTGTTGAGAGAAATCTCAAGCGTCTACAAATAGCATAATTACAGATATAAATATTATAATTTCTTAAGATTTTTAAAATTATACTAAATGCCTGTACACTTGTCAGAGAAAAATTTATTTATTTTTAAAACTTAATTGACTAAAAATATCAGCAGTGGATTCGTCAGGCATTGTTGGCCGTGCGGTTATTGTTACCATATTATAAAATCAAGTCCAGAGTTAAATAATATTATTATATTATATTTAGCGTTAAAATATTTTAAAAATATATTTTCATATCATAAATACTTCCATAGATTTAAAAAGTCACGTTTCTGTGCTAAGAATCAAGTTAGCATTTATAAATTAAAATACACAGGTATAGTAAAAGCGTTGAATGGAAAAAAGAAATACCCGTTAGTCTGGCTGACGACGTTAGTTGCGAATATAAAATTGAAACATAAAGATGTTTAATTCCTCTAAATACAATGTTTGGAGCTAGATTTTACCAATTGTGAACTATAAACGTACATAGCTAGTAAAAAATAATTTGTGTATATTTTAAACTAAACGAAGAAATTAATTTTCTTTATTTCCCTATTTCATTTTTTTTTATTACATAATACAATGATCTAATATTTACAAGATTATATCTAAAATTACATATTATCTAATAAACCTAATCCACGCGGCATGGTGCCAAGAACGCTAGCTTGCATTTCCTCGCTGAATGCTTAACCTTTGAGCGAGAAAAGAACCAGCTCTCTTGTCACCAAACGAATAAATAATAAGCATTCTTATTTTTCTAAATACTTCATTATGAACCAAGCTGGTGAACTCGATTTTTAACAATATTTTGCTAATTATAGGATTTGTGATTTTGATAAGAGGCAACACCCTCACTAAAAACTAAAGATGGTATATTGTTGTTTTGCTTTTATTTTATTCCTTGCCTAGTTTTTTTTGTTTAAATTGTGCTGAGTTAATTTTAGTGAATTTACTGGGTCTAGTATTATCACTGAATACGATACGAAGTGGACGATTTTGTGATTTTGGTGGAAATTGTGTTGTGATTTGTGAGAGACTCCTTTACGATATTGATGCTTATATCATTTTAATTTTAATCTGTTTAAAGTTGTACGATAAGAATGTTTTGATAATGGAAGGGCAAGAAAGTATGACTTGTGTTAAATGCGGAATTGTATCCTATTCCCTTTTTGTATCTAAAATGGAGAGAATCATTGAGCAATACTCCAAACCATATTTTTGTGAAATAAAAATATTCATGAACGTGTTTTATTAGTACCTACCAAATTCATAAGTAATTATACATGAATTCAAAAATTAATTAGGAAAGTAGCAATTTAAAACTTGTGTGCATACAATTACTATAGTTTGGTACCTCTGACGGGCCAGCATTACCAAAGTATTTTAGGACCAGCAGGTTTTCTTGGTGGTATTGTCATAAGAGATAATAAGAAATAAATAATTCAAAAGAGAATGTTTTTATCTAATATTATAAATATTCTTCGAACATAACAGCCCTTAACGACACCTACGTAAATATAAAAAACTGCTTCATCTTTCTGGTTACTTTTCATATCGAGGCTTATTTCTAAGCTTTTTTAAAACCTGTAAAAGTCAAAGTATATTGATAGTATCGTTAAGGAAAATCTGTTACCTAATTTGATAAACGTTTTTAACTTCATCACAATAAAATATAACAGCCGTTTAGAATTAATACTCTGTCAGATCGACTTGAATAGAATATTAGAGATGTAATATGCTACCCTGTAGGTGCTGGAAACTTCTATGGCGTCGTTTGGTTTATTATAACCTTTTTTACATAGAGCGCAGTCTATTTTATTACAGATTGTTTTTATTATTATTCTCGTAGCACTAGTATACGACATAACCTTAAAAACTTCAGACCGAAATATCTTTTATTCCACACTTCCTTTAATAACCATATGTATTTATGATATATTCAGAACATTAAATTCTATATTTTTACATAATTTTCGTCTAAGATCAAAAAAATTTGTATGGGAGTTCGCCACTGTCCTTTCCCACATTTATATCTAGTTCTTAGAGAGACGGAGTGCAGAATGCTAATATTTTTTAAGTTATGCATAAAAAATACAATAAATCTATACAAAAACATTACATATATGTATTTAAAACACACACCCATATACATATATACTATATTGATTATTGTTACAATCTGTGGTCAAATTGAGAATATTATTTATTCATATTTAGAATAATGTTAGTCTAAACATTTTTCAAACTTATAATTTAAATTAATTATGGTCGATTTTCGTCCACTTGGCGACCACTATTATGTAGAAATAATTCAATAACACAACAAACGTACATAGTGTACCAAAGTGCTGTTACTAATTCAATCGTCATCGTCAATACTAATCAATCGTTGTAATAACTTTATGCAGGAAAGTACAAGCGTTAATCATAGTCTTTACGACGTCAGCCGAAGTTAACGTTACATACCTTATTTCCCCCACGTAAGCATTGATTGGTGCTTCCATAATTCCGGTGCCGAGGCCCAACAAGGCGTTTGCCAAAAACAGGGAAGGCAGATTCCACGCGAAATACATCAGGATCCATGCGATAATATGTGGCAAGTTCACAATGAAATTTGCCTTTCTTCTTCCAAAGTAATCCACAAGTGGTCCAGAAAGGAAAGCGCCAAAAGGTTGGGTTAATGAGGAGAGGCTGCCTAAAATAAGGAAACCGAAATTAGACTTTTGTCAATCTAATATTGTGCTAGCAGCGAAGGAGAAGCAATAAAATGTTTTGAAAATATTTAAAGAACTTTAATTAACATTGGAACTTCTTGGCGGACTATGCGTACTATACAAAAGAATTAATTGACCTAAACAATCGGTCAGATAAAGTTTATCGTTTAACGGGTACGGTATATAATTCAGCAAACTCGAGCAACCTTAGCTGAAATTCCGTTACTGTTATTGAAACTGTTTACTGAGATGATTCCGTGGCGCAATCGCTAAAGTATTGGCTTCAGGGCCAGCGTTGTGGGTTCGATTCTCACTCGAGACAACAATTTGTGCAGCCCACAGGTAATTGTTTTGGATGTTGTCCACGTGAAATTCGTCTACGTACAACTTTTCTTACAACAAAGAATAATGTAATCCTACAATGTTGTAAGGGGGCAAGGCTTTTTGAACAAGAAATAAGAACAAAATTGAGTGTTGATTCACCCCTTGCAAGCAATATCGTAATAATAGTAATAAAAAATATCAACGTATGTAAAATCTGCTAGTTCACAGTAGGTGTTATCCACAGGGAGGCCCCTGCCCAGCCGTGGGTAACTTACTTTACTGTTTCTTTTTTTAATAATTTGTGATATAACATAATGAACTTAAAGTTATTTTGTGATCCGAATTCTGGCAAGATTTATGTTTTGATTTATTTGTAACTCTGGCAAATGTATTTTCGAAATTTGGTGATGTTTAACCGCGTGCTTATAACAAAGTGAAAACTTCCCGAGGAAACGTGCATATCCTAGAAAAATCTAAGACGTGAAGGTTTACAAACCACATTGTGGCCGCTTCTCGGAGTATGCCCAAATACCCAAACATATTTCAACAAAGGAGGTATTAGCATCGTCTCGATCATTTGAGGTCACTTCCTTTAAGTTGAACTCGTTTCTTATTCGCAAACACGTGATCGCCTCAAAATCCGGTCCGGTACACGTGATGAATAATTATGTGAAAACATTTCATGTAGTGCCCAGGCGCAAAAAACTTTACATTTAAAGGCGATTGACGTATATCGTATAAATTATACATATAAAGAATAAATAAAACCAAAAGAATAAAAATATTGTGCGCATAAATAAAATTGCATATAGGAAGGACGACAACCGACCGACAATGTTACCTTAAAAGTTATGTATAATTTATATAGAAATCTTTCGCGTAAAATTATAAAACAATGACAAACGAGAAAAATGAGAAATAAAATTGGAATTAATGCATTCCCAGCGCAGTATTATTCTCGAATAATACTGGTCTAGCAAAAAAAAAGCTTTACGTTAACAATATGAATAATAATGTTGATGACTCATCATCTGTTTGTTAGTACTCAAGACATTAGGTACAACTGAATTGAACTGAATTTAAATTTTCGCGATGGGAAAATGGTTGGGGTATTTCGAATTCACTTTGCCAGTGATACTCATATAAGCGCCAACTAATAGCCAAATAATACTTAGTGATCATTCCACTATTTGATTTTGAAGTCGATGTTTATTCACTGTTGCATTTTTTTTACTGATTTGTTCGACTTTAACCACATCTTTGTTGGGGAAATATATCGCAGGTGCTTGAACAGACTCCGAGTTAATACAGTTGAAATTATTTACCAAACCAGGAGGCTTGGATGTCATTTAGCGACAATCCTTCTGGAGCGTTGAGTAGAACGGGCAGCGCGATGGTTGGAAAACTGATGGCCATCCCAAGGTCAAGCAGAAGGAAATTCGGAGACAGCGATGCTATAATCTGAAAACAAAAAGAAGTGACAAAGTTCTATTACAAAGGAGTTTTTTAAATAGAGAGCTGTTGTCAAAAGGGCGCTATCCTATCTAAAGTCGAGTAAGTACGAGTACGATTAGATATCAATAGTTATAAGAACTTTATTCCAATTCATTATCATCATTTCAGCCTGTTTCAGTCCACTGCTGAACATAAGCGTCCCCCATAGACTGCCTCGAAGTACGATCCTGAGCCACCTGCATCCATCGACTTCCTGCACATTTGCACAGATCGTCATAAATATTAACATAAATGTTAACATAAAGAACTGAAACTTTTAAGTCCTTAAAATATATTTAATCTGTAAATGCAAGTATGCAAATACCGGAGGAGTGGATCCAGTTGTTGATAATTTCTCGATATTAATATGAGTTTCAAAGCAAATGTTAATGCACTAGTCTTGTAAGGCAGCCTGTTGGTATACGAATCTACTTATTTATATTTTCATTTGAATTTCAGTCGAAGTGCAAAAATGATTAATAACCTCCAATACAGAATTTAAAATCATAAACTATCATAATAAGCTTATTAATGATCCTAGATTGTTAGGAATACATAAGCAATATGTAGTCACGGATAAAGATGATAATATTCTACAGAGATAGAAAAATATGTTTGAAAATATTGTTTATCATTATAGATTATTACTATACACTACATTAAATTTAATTACTTCATTAAATTTTGCAATTATTCATGTATTTAAATTTTGCAATTATTAGAGTATGTTGTATGTAGTAATATCGTTTTACTCGTATGTATCTCTTTCGTTTTTAAATGTGATTATTTGTAATTTTATCCTTAAAATGTGTCCTCACTCAAGGTGTAATAAAGATAAAACAAGAACATCGTTCAGTGTCAATTCTTTTTTTCCTTTGTGAGTGTAATTGAATTAAATTGTTCTCAACAATCGTATTTCCTGAGTGTATAATAAAACTGCTCTGCTTTTACGCCATGGTGCTGAGAAACAAATTCCATAATAAAATTGTTCTATTCAGAATCTCGGCGCTCAGTATTTGATTATCAAAACTCACTTGATAATATGATCTCACTTTCTCTTCATATTTTTCCGATTTCTTTTGATCAGTCTCATATGTATATATGTCATATCTACAAATTTATATAAAAAATTAAGTAAGTATTAGATTTACCTGGTTATTTGTTAAACTGAGATTATTTCAGATTAATATTAATCGAACACGTTGGTTTAGAATTTTGCATAAAACATTAATAAAAAACACCTTGGCCATATTTGGACAGCAGAAACTACTTCGTTGCCAATGACAACTTGAACAAACAAATCACAATAAAACATCCAGGACAGCGAGATCACGATGGAAGAGATCCGTGACATTATTACACTTGGTTGACCTTAAATCTTCACAGAAGCCGTGTATATAATTTTCGTATTAGTTTAACTTCAAAAAATAGGCCAAATCGTAAAAAGTTTATTGTGGTTGGCTTACATAAATACAGCCTTTACTTTACTCTATGAGCGGATATATCTGAATTACTTATTATCTAAACGATTTTGTTCTAGTTTTAAAAAGGATTTCTTTCAATATTATTATCAAGATTTATCAAGACTTTCTTTTAAGATGAAATGCGTAAAGATAATCTTATAGGCTCTCTTTTACATAGTGTTTAAGCCCAAGGTCACTCACTAATGGAGTAAAAGTTTGCACATTCTCATTTCAAAGTTCATGTCAAATAATAACATTGTCACATTTGCAATCCGGAAAGTTAAAAAAGGTATTTAAAAAATAAATGTATTAGTTGTGCTCTTCGGTTGTCAGTCATGAAACAATGTTTTTTTTATGTTAGAAGATGGCAAGGAAACTGCGTGTTTACCTGATGCTACGTGATAACCGATAGCTCAGTGTCAGGAGTCGTGATAGCTCAGTGTCCGGGCGCTCGCCTTTAATTCAATATACTTGAGCAACCTGAGTTCGATCCCCGGTGCCGGCACCAATGAAATTGTCAATTTTAAGTGCCGAATTATCACGTACTCAGCGGTGAAGTAAAACATCGTGAGGAAACCTGCATATTTTCGAAATAATAACAAAAAAATATTTCGAAGATATGTGAAGTCCGCCAATCCGCAGTGGGGCCGCGTGGTGGACTATGCCCTGATACCCTCTGTATAAAGAAGGCCTTTTCCCAGCAGTGGGACATGTATAGGCTGATACTTTACGTGATGACCGCCGCCCATGGACATTTACAATACCCGTAGGGTTGCAGATGCCTTGGTACCTTTCAATAAAGTGTTTTACGAGAAAATTACTTAAATTGCAAATTTCAGCACAGCCTTTAAAAGACATAATAAAACAAGAACAGCAATATGTTAACTATCTATTGACTATCGGTACACTTAGAATACAGAATAACAGAAAATTCATTACCGAAGGTGTAAGCAATTATGCAGTTCCATTCATTTAAATCGCCGTAGAAGATTTTCATAAGATAAATTTCCTATATGTTAACTTTATAAGGAGAAAAACTGCCAAAAATATTTTTTACACGCATTTACTTTTTTTTTAAGTTATCGTTTGGGCATAAAATGTTGGAGAGCAAGAATTTTTATTTGAATTTCTTGTTAAGTTTAGGAGGCATAATCATTAAGTGTTAAGTAGAGATGTACAAAACGTACATATATTACTTGTAAAGTTTACAGTTTTTTGAAGTGCTAATCACTGCACTTAAGATTGAAAATTAAAACATGTAGAAAAAGAAAATGGCTAGAGCGTCAGGTCGCGAATGCCGAAGACGTGGATTCGATTCCCACAGCGGCGACAATCTTTTCGTTCTTTTTCTACATGTTTTAATTTTCAATCTTAAGTGCAGAGATTAGCACTATAAAAAACTTTAAAATTTATAAAAAAAAGCAATGGCGACATCTCTCGTTCGAATTATCGTTGTAAAACGATATTCGAAATTGTTTGTATGCTGGAAAGGATATAACAATAGATGCCCCAAGCATTGCTTCCAATGCTAAATAACAATGTAAAATGAACGCGTTAAGAACGCGCCTTTTAGCTCAGTGGCTAGAGCGTCAGGCCGCGAATGCCGAAGACGTGGGTTCGATTCCTACAGCGGCGACAATCTTTTCGTTCTTTTTCTACATGTTTTAATATATTACTTGTATCATTTTTATTGTTTTATAAAAAATAATTTATTTAAATTTTAACACTAATTTTGTTTATTAATTTCAATATTTTTTAAGTGTTACAATCAATACATACAGTTTATATGTTATTAAATTAAAAGATAAACACAGTCATATTGAGAACCTCCTTCTTTTTTCAAGTTAATTAATAAAACTGAATCTCTTCTATTTGAAATACTAAGTTTTATCTACATCGACATAAATATAGATGTTTTTTTAGCATTGTTAGTCTTTCATAAGCTTATTATCTTCATTCCATTCTTTCTTGTTGTCTATTTTAAATGTAAATAAGTAAGAGCAAAAACTTTAGCATTTTCGTAGACAGTATAAAGCTTACTGAAGACCTTATCATTTGTCGAAACATCACCTCGCAAAGATAAAAATCCTGGTTTAAAGTTTCCAAATTAACTATGAATTGTTTTTAATGGATAAAATGTTACCCACAACTCCATTTTTTATTAACGAAAAAAAAAACCGACTTCAAATATCTCGCTCTGTATTCATTTTATTATTAAATTTCAGGATTTCGCTAAGTATCTCCGGAGCCCAAGATACAATGAAATTAACCCATCAAAATCGGTTCACTCACACGGAAGTTATGAGGTAACATACATAAAAAAAAAATTGATAGTGGATTTGTAAACTATCACAGGCTACAGGGCTTCTAATGATTACATGTTTTTCACGTTTTTGTAACTCATTATTTCTATTGCAAAGAGAGACTTATTAAGTTTAAGAGTAAAAAAAAGAGATTACAATATATATATATATAACATAATATTTGTTTCTCTTTTTTAATATTGGCTGAATTTTAGTCAGATAAAAGTAAACTTTTAGTTAGAAAATATCGATGCTTTTAGATTTCGAAATTTGAACATAATGTCACTATAAAAATATTCCAATTGCGAAAATTTGACAAACAAGCAGGCGCTTCACCTGATGTTAAGAGATTTCCAGATTAAGTGGGTGCAGATGCTTTGCCAACATTGAAAAAATTTTACCTCACTCACCAGATGAAACACAAAAGAATTACACTTCAAGCTGGTCTTCTGTGAGGCCGTGGTAATTTCCCGGACGCCTGCCTTTTCGCCTGGGTAAGGTTTGGCAAATATATTTTACGTTCAGTTCACAGTTCAAACTTGACGTTCTCTAAAATAGTGGGTTGAATGACAAATTGTATTAGATTAATTTAATTGATAAAGTTGTGTGTCTGTTGGATATTTTTCATGACGCCGCATTATGTTTTTCTTCGCGGATTTAAAAACTGGTTACCCGCTATATCGGTGGTTGACCTTGAAGAGGTTGAAGAATAAAACTCATAGCAGTCATTCTTTGTTATCCTTTAATTGTTCCAAATGATTTGCATAATTTCGGAATATATCTATATTCAGTTGGATCGTTGGACGTAAATTGCTGTAACAACTTGCCATTGAATCATTCATTCATTATTTTTATCACGTCTGATTGTCTCAGGACTGTTAAGTTGTAACTTTTTGCTATATTAGATTAAAGTCAGTCTAGTCTTGTCAAAAGCTATCTGAAAAAAGTTGTTTTCTGGAGTTCTTTGTTTTCCCTTTTTTAAGTATTGAAAATCATTTAAGTAGACTTTACAGATAGTTCGTTAAGTTTGCAAGATTCATTGTTCAAAATCAAACTGAATGCTCAATGGTCAAGCAAAAAACCTTAAGCCTTGAATAAAGTGCAATATATTTTAGATAAACTTAATAGCTAACTTCTTCGAGGCCTTAAAAACCTTATTACTCTTAAAGTATTCATGTGCATACGTGAAAATAATAACTCTTCAAAGAGTTTTGATGACAGAAAATTACTGTCACGCGTGCGGTAGGTAAGTAATGGCGAATAAACCTAGAGAACAATGTTATACAAAGAGATACACGCCTTTTTTAGGTTCGGATAGATAAACTAGTTTAGTTTAACGTAATAAAATATTATAAACGTATGTTTAATTTCTTACCATAAATTATTCATCTGAACGAGGTAAACTTTATATACACTGTACAGTATCTAAAACTTTAAAAGATAAAATAATGAATTTAGGTCGAGGGCAAGGCTATCATTGGTGCTTAGTGCGACCTGCATTTTCTCGCTGAATGTTCAATGTTATCCTGAAGGCTGGGAAGGAACCGGTTCTCCAGTGAAACAAGAACTCAGAGTTGCGAGGATCCAAAGGGCCAGTATCTTACAGACATTATTTTACAACAAATGGCAAGATCATATTCATATATTTTTAAAGATATTTATGTAGCAAACTAGCAGGAACAGTAGTAAACAGATAAAGGCAACAGCTCTATTCCCGTGTAACGCTTTCACAGAAATAAAACAGTTTATCAGTTTTTAATAGAGATACTTTCGGAACTAGACTATTTAAGTTTGCGGCCTTCGCTTCGATATGTACGAGTGTGGTGTTAATTACCAGGAACGTTCGTTAAGAGCCTTCAATCCAATAGTACCCATATCACCATCATGATCATCACCAACATTAAGTCTGTTTGAGTCCACTGCTGAATACAGGCCTCCCCCGCAGACTGCCACAAAACTTGCATATCCGTCATTCCATTTAGAGGGAGGTCTTTTTACACTACGCTGATCAATACGAGGGTGCCACTCCTGAGAATCTTTCTTTGTAATATACCCCGATATATTTTCAAGCTTATCCTTTAGAGACAAGACAAGGAGCACTTGCGTCCTGCTGGAGTCTTTCATGAGTGAGATCTGATCTTTTTTAGTCTTGATAAGTAGCATCTTTCTGGCTGTTATGGCTCCACACTTTGAGTCCTCTGCTAAAAGTCGTGACAGCATCGCTAATCCAATTTGGTTCGCCAGGATCCGCATCTCCCGTACCCATGTAGATATCTATATCTATTACCACAAGCGTATGTTCTACGAAATCCTGGTTCCCACACTGAAGTGATAGCAAATTACTCTTGCCTCTCGTCAATCCAGCGGAGAAGCCTTGTCGATTAATTATCTGCTTTGATCGGTATGCGAGTTGTCCACCCTAAACTGCATGTAGGTTTCTAAGGTCTGTAGAATTGCTCTTGATACGTTTACGATTATATTCCTAGTTATCCTCGCAGTTTATCGACCTCGAGCGCCTCTTCTGGCTCATTACTACCACTTTGGTGGATGATAAGAATCCGGTCCTACACCCTTGTATAAATGTCCGCCACGATGAGAAGAGATGAAAAATTGAACAAAACTGTTGGAGGTTCAAATGTTATCAGGCAATATTATCGATATCTGTGTAGATTTTATTTCCACAGAGTTTAATGAGCAGCCTTTTAACTCAACCGGGTGCTTCATATGGGGTCACGGATCGAACGACTTCTTCATAGAGGGAGCGCACTTCTTCTTTTGGGCCCCCATAATGGGGTAGCAGTCTGTGCCAAGCACATCCGCTACCGTCTCGATTCAAGGGTAAACTGCCCACATATAGTACGATTTTCCCACATCTTATATGCCCCACCACGGCATAAATATCAATACATACGCCATATCATTGAACCCTAAACAAACTACAACGTGAAGAGGTCCTTCTACTCCCGAGCCTAACAAATAATTCTAAGAGATTAATTTCATTTATATCACAATCTTTCGTCTTTAAGTCTTAAAAAGCAAAAAAAAGGTATGTAAAGGTTTATTAATGCTCGCTTGCACGCAAGCAGTGTCTAAATGCGTCCAATTTCTGAATTCAAGTTTTCTGACTTACGTACAAGCTATATAACAGGTTTTTAAAGGACATTGGCATAAAAATATAGAAAGTTTCCTTTTCGCAAAATCTGCTGAGAGGACCATTCTGAATATAAACATATTCAAATTAAAAAAGCAGCTTGAATCCTACACACATGTAATCTGTTTCACTTTTGGTAAAATACTAGATAGTGATCAATGGCTATAGTCAACTGTTTCCCTACTGATGGTAAGAAGATCATTTAATAAATAAGTATAATACGTGTATTAACGTAGTACATTTTTTATTCCTAAAACATACTTGCATGCCCAGGGTGCCGTCTAAGGACCGGTTTTGAAATGTTTTAATTTTGCACCAAATCGAAAAAGGTTTAGGACGTATGCATAAAAATTCGCAGTCAGAACCTTGGGACAAATGAATATGGAAACATCAAAGAAATATTCAATTATATATACAACTCACCTGGGATGCGACACTTTTAAGCCGGCTGGCGGGTGCAGTCAGTTGACCCATTTGCACCTTATGCACCATTTTTGTTTTAGTTAATGATACTTTAATATCCGTCAATCAGTTGATTTATCACGTTAAATTACTAGCATTAGCAGCTCGAGTTTACCATTTTTTTTTGGTAAATGAAACAGGAAAGAGCGTCCGCGTGGAACGGCCTAAGCGTATCGAATGGCGATGAAATAAAGAGCCCGGACGCCTTTATTATGTAAAGAAGTTGTTAAGAGTTTGCTTATGGTTTGCTATGTTGTAAAACCAAATCCCATTTGAGGAAATCTTCGCGACATACATAGTTGCAGATGGTTTCAATGAAGCCTTGAAACGGATAATTCGACGGTTGCTAACAAATTTCTCAGAGCGACATCTTGCTTATTTCAGAATGACACGCAAACACAACACATGCCGAGTTCTTGTGTACTGATATTTTGTTAGAACTTTAACTTTATACATCTTTCTTACCAAGACATGAATATCGGGATTCTGTTATCCTTAATATCACTTGATACTTTGAATAATCGTTGCTTTTGTGTCCGAGGAGTACTGTTGAAAATGTATGTATAACTCCATCCAGGTCTGCGGACAATACCTTTAAAAACATTTTAAGAATATTTTTTCTCTTTAACTTTATGGTTTCTTGCATTCTCTGTTAATTACATAAGACCTAATAATAATGGTATAATGGATATTTCGTTCTTGAGCGTTACTTTCTTGCTCTTTTACTTGCTCACACCAGGGTTTAAATAGTTTAAATAGCAATCCAATTAGGAAAAGTTGGATGACATTCAACTGGTTGTCTATTTATAAGAATAAATGTGGTGTTTGTGTGTTCATTAGCGGATTAGGGAGCCAAGTTAGCTTATTGGGCGGGCTTGTACCAATAAAACTGTTAATTTTAAGTGTTGACTTATCACGTGCTCGGCGGTGAAGGAAAACATCGTGAGGAATCGTGCATATTTTCTGAAGAATTACAAAAAAAAATGTTTCGAAGATATGTGAAGTCCGCCAATCCGCAGTTGGGCAGCGTGGTGAACTCTCTCTGCACTAATAATGCCCTCTGTACAGCGTAGGCCTTTGCCCAGCAGTGCTACATATATAGGTTGTTATTTTATTTTACATTACATTAGCGGAAAATTACGTTTTACATTAATTTGAGTATTTCATGCGTAGATAGGTGCATTATTCCCAAAAGAATTGAAATAGACTCATGAAAATCTTTCCCAATTAGTCTAGCTGGGTGGCCTCGCGTTTTTATAATATGTTACCTCATTTTACCCTAAAAATATGTTATTATAAAATGGTAATATAAATCAAATCAAAGGTATTATACAGTCCATGAAAATTTCATAATTATTCTGTTATTGGATGTTCACGCATCAACCAGTCCCAAGGTTTTTCCACGTATAACAATGTAAAATGAATTTAAAACTTGAGCATTTTGTCCGAATGTATGACAATCGTTCATTGTCACTTAAATTTTTGTATTTCATTTGTAAGAGGACGATTGTTTACGGCCGTCGTAAAATATGTTGTGTGAAATTACGTGGCTTTTAAGTGTATCTCTCCGTTCCGTACGTATGTACGTTTTGAAACGAGAACTCATAATAAACCTGTAGGTATCTATTCTTGATAAGAATATATGAATGAAAGAATGAAGAAAATATTCTTGAAAAGAATATATGAATGAATGAATGAATATTTATCCCTCCATGACGCAGTTGCCAAGGCATTGGCTTCGGCGCCGTGGCCGTGGGTTCGATTTCCACACGGAGCAACTACTTGTGTGAGCCACAGATAAATTAATACATACTTTAAAGAAGAATTTACATACACGTAACAAACCGTATAATTCATTGCACTAATCATCATCTTTTGTAGTTTAACAAAAAACTGCTATAGTAATATGAACAAAAAACGGTTATTGTGACTTGAACTAAAATAGTTTAACACGTGGCCTTGAGGACTTTTTCGTGGGTAGTGATTATTACTATGTGCATGTAGTACATTATTTTTAATAAATAGTTTAAATAGTTTTCGCAGCGCACGCCAATTAGTGACTCTCGTAGGCAAAATTTTTAATCTTTTGGATTACATTATTGTAATTGTCGTAGGGATCTCTAATTTTTTAATTATACATTATAGTCCAATTTACTCGCTGATAAAAGTTATCTATAGGCGGATATTTTTAATCGGTTACGATTTTTTAAAATTTATCCATTACAAACATTCAAAACATGCAAAAAATCAAATCTTTGCTCTTAATAATATTAGTTTATATTTAGACATATGATTAAACCGGATGTTGCCTTGAATTTTCGTTAAACATGAATAATTGATTATTTTTAATATTCACGCGAATAGTTTATTTATATTACAATAATACATTGTGCATCTTATAGTCATTAATGCATTGTACATCCACATAAAAGACCTTAACGAAATTAAAATAAATATCGCATGTCCTTCATGTCTCGCCTTGGCTCGAAGATTTTAGGTTTTCCTCAACTTCTGCATAAATATTTATGATAATTACTTGTTTTTATATTACTAAATGAAACAATGCTTACGGATTTATTGCGTTCATTTTTAATTTTATTTCCCGACATTTGGACCCTTTACACTTTTTTTTGCTCTTTCGTTTGGGATTAGAATTTTATTTTATTAACCTTTAATTTTATTGTAGCACCCAACCCTCTTTATTGAAATTAGGGTGTTTTGTAAATTCAATAGCCTCGCGAGTCATCCTTGAGAGGAATCGGTTTACTTTTGCAAGGATTTGTGCTCTGTGAATCTGATGTAGTGATTAGGGCGATTTAAGGTGTGCTCACAGACTGTAGACTTGTTTAATCTGAAATCAAATTAAAAATAGAAATGTATTTTCATTTATAAATATTTATGTTAATTATTCTGGTAAGTACAAAAATATTTTACCGTATATGTATTTAAAAATAGGAAGGTAAGGTGCCTAGACGTACATAATATGTTTCCTATACTGGTACAAATTCCTCATCTGTACAGAACCAGTAGTGGCAAAAGAGCTGGCGGTTCACCTGACGTTAAGTGATAACCGTCGCCCATTGATATCTGCAACACCCTTAGGGTTGCAGATGCGTTGCCACCTTTTAATAAAGTTACCTCACTCATCGGACGAAACGCAGAACACTCTTCTATTTCATGCCGGTCTTCTGTGAGGTCGTGTTACTTATCCGGACGAACCTACTTATGTACTATTTACGTATGGGCATACTTGCAGCAGACAAGACTGTTTCGTGGCCCTTCCCACTGTTGAAATCACAAAATGTCATATTTCCGAAACTGTTTAATTTATTGCAAAACATCGATAAGGTGAAGCTATAACTTCTTGTTATAGCCACAATAAGAAACGCGTTCAAAATGTAATCAATGTGTAGGAAATATTTCACGAGTGCAATGTATTACGCTTTAATCCTAAGTAAGCGCCGTTATATTTTTCTAAGTCACTCATAATGACACCAAATTTATCTTTATTCTTTTCTTCTCTATTATTTTGCAGCACTTACGTTCGTCTATAGGGCGGAACAGCATTTGGTATTTGTAAGTAAAAATTAATTTTTGGTGAATGTTACGATTTTAGTCCGATGACTATTAAACTTCGTCGGTAGTGGAACCCATACAAATTGTAGGTTGATAGACACTACACCGATAAGGTCGATAAAGGTATATGGCCACATGTGCATGCGTAAAATGGGCATTGTGACTTCGTATATATAGTCTTCGTCAAAAATACCATTTGTTTTCATATCAGACGGAGTCAGATGATATTTATCAATTCAGTATACGCTGATAGAACTTGAGTTCGAAACCAATGAAATTTCTAATCGGAATTTAACGGAAAACCTGAAAAATCTTGTGAAAACCTGCATAACTAAGAAATGTTAAAAAATATTTTAATAACATACCAAGATTTACACTAATCGAGCTTAGTGCGTTGCGGAAAATGGCTTGTTTTTTATTACCTTTTAATAAAATCTGTCATTTAACTAAAAGTAGTAAAGGTCTATTGCACTGACTTCTTGTTCTCACGCAAATACTTTTTTTTGAGAGAAAAATTTGGTGTGTTAGTGCTTCACCTAATGTTAAGTGATTACCATACCGCTGAGTGTATTTTTTACCAAAATTTTACAGTTTATAGATACGAATTTTCTTTTTATTTTCTTACGTTTCATTTTGCCTCCGATAATCCAAACCCTTTAAAGTGTTCACGGTTCCATGGCCATTAAATGCGTAAGATAATTATACTTTACAACAGGCTTCCATAAATTATTTTACACTGTTTATACTGTTAATGCAAAATAAAACTACGATTCGTAGGTAGATATAGTAGACTGATGACGTCTCTTTTTACTGGCACAAAGCCGTAATCTGAGAAAAAAGATAAAAACATGTGAGTGACAAAAACATGGGGATCCCCGTCAGGACCAAATTTACGCCTGGAACGAAAGTGTAGATCGCTTTCTCCTGGATGCGCTTGAAGGCGAGTTAATTCACCAGTATGCTCAAGAATTATCACGACTGCATGTTTAGTGTAGATATTTTGCTCGACAAGGATAGTTGGATGATATTCAACTATCCTCGTCGATTCCACATCCAGGCAGCCGGCAGCTGTTACGAGAATCCTCGAGAATGCGTGACTTTTCCCCGGTTAAATAAATGCGTGACCTTTTTCTTGTTCCGCGACCGTGTATATAGCATGCTCATCGGTGAAGGGAAGCCTGGTATATAATATATTTTCGTAATTATAATAAACATTAAAGGAACGTTTAGAAGATATGTGAAGTCTGCCAATCCGCTGTGGGGTCACGTGGTTGACAATGTCTTAATACCCTCTGCACAGAGGAGGCCTCTACTTTTTACAAAAGATTATTACAAAAAGATTAACAAAAAGAAAAAAGTATTTGATAAAAGACACGATAAACATATTAGAAGGATTGCAAGTGAAACCTTAAGGGTTACTGCTTTAACCACCCTCATTATTGTGTCCGTATTAGATAGAAACAAAATATTGTAATGATTCGTCTTTCTTTATTAATTTAATAAGAATAAAATATAAAAGAGTGAATTAAAAAATGTGATGCTTTCTCTTTGAAGTGGTAAAAATCGTACAGTTAAATTGTTGTATCCCGCAAGCCGCCTTCAGGAACCGTTTAAACTCGTACCCAGTTTTAAACACGGAAATTGTTACGAACCGCGTGTAGCAGTAGACATTTGTTTTTTTTTTTCTCTTTTGTTACATTGTAGCCTATAAACTATTGCCACGTGGCGACGGCATGCATCCACGACTCCCAGCCAGTCTGCGCCTCAACCCTGGACGGGTGCAGCCGACGAAGTTTCCTTGACCAGTGCGACATGTTCGAATACAACTGCGATTACGGCACAGGTGAGCACAAAAAAACTAATGACATTTTTAAAATTCAAGAGTTTTTTCTTACAAGACTTCTTACTTAAATGATAATTTTATTGCTAATTAGAACAAATTAAAACGACACCACAAACGCCTTGATGATTAACTAGGGTTTGTATTTTATAATTACTTAATGCCTAACTTCAAAATTTGGGCAAAAACTGGTATGTAATTTTGCTCATACATATTTTCAGGCGTGTAATATTTTATATAATTATTTTCAGAAAAATACTTGCATACATTACTAAGAAGATTTAAAAAAACGACACATATAAAAAGTTATGTTAATACGAAAATAATTTTTTAGATATGTATATTACGTACGTAATGTACGTAATTAAACAATTAGAGATTTATTTCTCTATATGTAAAAATGAATCGCTGAATGTGTTGCTAAGCACAAATCTCGAGAACAGCTGAACCGATTTCGCCAATTCTTTTTTTATAATATTCCCTGAAGTACGAGTATGGTTCTTACGGAGAGAAAAATTAAAGAATTGCCTGAAAAAGTCTAAAAATAACACTTTTCTATATTCCCATACAAGAGATTCGTAATAATACTTAAAAGTCAATTTGAACTTTAATACCATACTATTAAGTTTAAGTGTTAGTGGAGGGGTTCCGGGAAGGCAAAATTGAGTTAGTATCGTATAATTATTAATGTCAATATTTGTCAATATTTAAACGATGATAACATTACTCTAAAACAAATTGTCTATGGTAAAATTTAAATTGTCTGTGGTAAAATGTCACTTGAAATGTAAACGTCTCTTTGCTGTGCATCAACATCGTATAAAACAAAGTCGTTACGATGTCTGTCCCTATGTATGTGTAGATCTTTAAAACTACGCAACGGATCTTGATGCGGTTTTTTTACTAGATAGAGTGATTCAAGAGGAAGGTTTATATATATATAACACAATGCACCCGTGCGATGCCGGGGCGGGTCGCTAGTTCTAAATATATCTTGTTTTCGGGGCCAACTAAAGAATTAAATAATATCTAATACTGTACTTCTACTACTAATACTGTTTTCTTGCTAAAAACTTGAAGTGACTCCACAGTGCCGCCATCTATTGAAACGATTTGTATTGATAACGCCATCTGCTGATGTTACTGTTACGATTTTTTATTATGTAGTAAATAATTAAATCACACTGAAACCCCGACGCCGAATCCAGTGACTGATTTAGTAATTGCACCGCCAACATATGTTCTACCTATTATATAAAACAATTTTTTTTGCGAACAGCTAGAGTAGTTTAAGATAACGATCTTACTCCATTGAATTATAAATCATATAGTGATTTAACCTTTTCCCAAGGAGGGTTGACGTCAGGCAGGCGGCTTGTCGTAAAAAAAAAAAGACCAAACCGCTTACAATATGATTCACATGTTGTGACGACCTCGCCTAGTTGGGATAAGGGGTGGATGATGATGATGATAGTGATTTAACCTTGCCCATATTATGCCCCAGTTTTGTATCTGCTCACGTTCCGGGTAGTCTTGTCTGTTCAGAATTGGACTGTTCCGCCACCAAAGAGTGTGTCCTCTATCACACACTACATAAATCATCTGTCACAGACGTAAAGGCCTAAAGTCGTTTAAAGGAAAATTTATAATTTTTCAGACTACAGCACCGCAGCGAAGACTCCATGTGCCCATGATCGTGGCGATTATTCTTGTTAAGACCATTATTATCGTCGTTGAATAAATTGTAAACTAAATATTGAAATTATTTTTAATTCCCACCTTCTTTGTTAAAGTTGTCGTCATTAAATGTTTGACGTATGCGGAAAACTTTGAACAATTCTCGGTATTACTCGTAAAACTTACGTTAAATAGATCAATATGACTCTCTCCAGAGAGACGTTTCACACACCCACGTTTCTTTATTGGTTTCTCAAGCACATCATAGACATACACGAGACTATGGTGGCTGGAATGATGACGTAAAATTAAACGTGACGTCATTGAAGAAATTCTCTCGTGCCATTGATAAGAGCTGAATCATTTTTCCAGATTACGAAATGGTGGCCTGCGAAAATTCGAGCACGAACGACAAAAGTACCGAGGCTAAAGTTGAGCAAAAAACTTCACTTATGCATAGCATGCCCTCTCATGAATATTTTTATTCCATTTACAAAGAAAAACAAGAAGCACTCGAAATGAGCGAAAACGAAGTAGTTGTGACGAAACTCACTTCGACCACGATCGAGGCTACAGATAAACTGGCACACGCTGTTAATATCAAAAAGCCTGTGCATGTATTGTGTAGTTCGTCGCATTGTGGGAGACCTCGAACTTGGGCGACAACTATGAAAGGCGAGACGAGAGACTTTTATAGAATTCTGGGAGAGGAATCGCGGTAAAATAAAATAAATGTAATGGAACAAAATATTTTATTCTGATCGTTCAAAAATTTAAAATATAAAAGGCATACACATTCGAAGTTTTATTTTGTTAGAATACGAATGTTGTTTTAGACACATATCCTAGTTAATTTCTTATATTAAACGAGACAGATTAAAAAATAGATTTTACAAACTATAGATTCTATTTTCATTCAAATAGAATCACAAGATATAACTATAATTAAGTACTAATTAAGAGAGAAATAATAAATGCGGCATATACTTAATTATTTAATATAAACAAGACAATAACAATTTGAGCATTTGTCTCTCAACGCCACGAGTTAGAACTCGCAGTGAACGAACCGCGTTGGTTCTAAAATTAGAGAATTAACAACTATGTTAGTTTAGTTACACTTATCATTGGACATAACACAACCACACAAAGATTAGCTGACTAGCATAGGTTTGTTTGCCTCTACATTTACACTGCCACCTTTTCTGAAGGCGTTTATGAGGAAGTCGTTGGCGAATATCTTCTGATTGCTCTTATAGTACGCCTACGATTTCGGCCAAAGTCTTGTTTTCGGTTTCCGGCAGGAAGAAATACAGATAAACGGTTCCGACGAACGTAAGGATTGCGTAGATGGCGAACGCACCGCTTATGTGGAAGCTCGCCTCCAAATTATAGTTGGTTTTTGTTGCGGCAAAGACTATGACGTAGTTAAGCGCCGCCGCTAGTCCCGTTGCCGTGCCCCGACTTCTGCAAGGTCAAGGGAAAGTCCGTCATTGGCATATTTCAAGTCGTTCCAGGAAAAAATGTTTATTTAAGTGTCGTATGATGGACTATTAGTATTTTCAGGCGCTGTGAATTTAAACCGACATCAAAAATGCTAGTTTATGGTCTGCTTTGACTGTTATAATGCTTACTGCTACAACTAATTAATTGAATGAAAGTAGCACCGAGCCATTTTTAATGATTATCGTTTTCTTGGTAGAAGAAGTCTTGAACTTACTTTGCTTGCAATACAGGAAAAAGCCAAGCATTGAGCTGACATAGCTTTTGCGAGTAAGATTGAGCAACGACTGATTTATTGAGTCAACTGGATTTACATAGAAAAAGTATCTAACTGTGTATGGACTTATAACTCAAGGAATTTAAACAAACTAACGCACATCTACAGGACTCAATCACGCGAATTTGAACAAAGACGTCATTCCGTCAAACTGCCGTAACAACAAAGGAATTGGGCGTATTCATTTTAGAATAATCACACTTACCTGAAGGGGAAAACTTCGGAAAGCAGAATCCACGGTATCCCAAGGCTGGTGAAGCACACTAGTGCCATGAACAGAAAGACGGGCAGAGTCTCCTTCGGCTCGGGGAAAGTGCTGGGTTCATAAGAGAACACTCCACTAGGCGTGTTATTGCTTGCGTACAGGCTAATGCTAAGACTGCAGAACGCCGTCGCCAGCAGGGATCCAATCACTAGTTTCCTTTTACCAGTGGTTTTCACTATCACCGCTGACACGAGATTCATCACGATAAAAACGGCTCCCACGAGGACCTGAGGACATGATAGGAACGTGATGAGTTGTGATGACAAGCGTTTCGGACCTCAAAGTGGAAATGTTGAAAACGTAAATGCAAAAGAAAATGAAAATGTTATAGACCCCAATAAATTATGATTTATTATTTTAAATGGTATATCAGTGGGAGGCCACGCAGCAACTTTACCTGTTGTGGAAGTGTTACGAGTTCACAGAATACCGGCGTAAAGTGATAAATACTAAATTTATTATTTTTTTTCTTTTTCACATTTCATCCGGCGAGTGAGGTGACACACGAAAAACGAGATCTACTTCATAAAGGTCGAATACGCATCTACCACCCATCAGATGTTGTAGATATAGATGTCCATGAGCGGCGGTAATCACTTAACATCAGGTGTACCGCCTGCTCGGTTGCTTTCAAGCGTAACCATAAATTGATTTCTGATTCTAATTGAAACTGCTTGAAACTACAAACTGGTTAGCTTTAAATTAATAATATAATGAATTGTATAAATGAAAAGTATCAAAATTATACAAAATGTGCAAATAACAGAAATCAAGTAAGCAAAATAATAGCATACAATATCATTTGCCCAGTATCTATAGGGTTGTTAATACAAATTAAGTGTTTTTCTTTTAACGAAAATATAGTTATATAATCATATTGTTTATTGAAGTTGTACTTCTTTCGGCGGGTTTGAAAATATGAGAGTAAAATTTTTACGATGCCGACCCTCAAAAAGCGACATGATGCTTTAACCAATTTAACCTTGGCAATCAAAGACAACTTAAAATAAAAACTTCATCAATTGCATTTGATGACTTTGCGCGTGCTTACATAAGCACACCACTTCCATCATATTTAACTATAGTTATAATGACGAGAAAGCAACTTACCACAACGGTTTTAGAATCGTACTTCATGCCGAGAGCCTTGCAGAAGTTGACCATGTTCGGCCGCACCGGGTGCAGGCCACTTAACGTGTGGAATAGGAAGTAGGCCATCACCCAGCGTGAACGGCCTCATGGTCTCCTTCACGAATAGCACGTGCCTGAACTTCAACAGGATCCGTTTGAAGATGCCGCACTTGGAATGCTCACAGGCTATGCTTTCGTTGTTGCCTTCCTTCACGCAGATCACGCACTGCTTGATCATTTCGTTGTATTGAAGCAGCTGTTCGAACTCCTTCTTGACCTCTTCGGGCTTGGCCCAGCCTCTAAGCCGGCATAAGGACCTCAAGGCCTCTTTTTGACGACCCTTCGATAAAAGCCAGATTGGTGTTTCGGGTACCTGAAGCAAGAGATGCGAATATAAGTTTATAATACTAATCTCTGGATTTAAGGTAGGGTCACGCAACGGTCTTCGCTGTTGCACGAATGTGCAGGTCCGTCCGAGTGAATACCAAGACCTCACAGGAGACCGGCGTGAAGTGTAAGTGTTATATTTCCGCGTTTCATCTAATGGGTGAGAAAGCCGGGGCCCAATTTATTAAGGGGTGGCAACGTATCTGCAACTACGGGTGCTGCAATTGTAAATGGGCGCCGATTGTCATTTATCAATCAATCAAATATCTTTATTCAAAATAGACGCTTGCGCGTTTTAATGATCGTAATTATTTTCATATTTTATTGTCAAAGCTTATTTTAATATTAATATGGCTAAATTGATAAAGTTGCTTATGTTAGGAAATGGACGCGCAACAAAGATAAACCTATAAGAATGCTTTAAATTCAAAATTAATGTCATTGTCTGTTTATTTCATGATACTTTTATTCATAAATTCAAATCCAACAACTTAACAAGGCTAAAGGTAATTTATTGGAGTTATTTATTGCAGATTTATATTCGATAAAATGTTTGATCAATCGTTTTATTTCTTTTCGAACTTACAAAAATCTAAGTTACATTGATCTAAATTAATTCAATTAAATCAATGAGTAGAATCATAAATAAACATTTAAAAATATTTGACAATCAGTTATGACTTGGCAGTTATTAGCGCAACAAGAATTAATATTAAAATAGTTAAGAACAATTACTTGCGTAGTTGATGGTGACGGAATATTGTCTCACTGTTGAAATTGAAACTATACGGAGTTAAAATTAGACGTTCCCGTTATTAATTTTGACTCGATTGGCGTAGTGTAGTGATCTACACCAGAGAGTGTGGGTTCGATTCCCACTACTGAAAAAATATTCTGTGACGAACACTGTGTTTTTCTAGTGTCAGGGTTTGTCTATAATGTCTTTTTTTATAAAAAGGTGTATCTATTAGTTTCCTAGCTATCCATAGTTCAATTTGCTTAGTTTGCCTTTAGATAACGTTGTTTAAAATGTCTGCAGAAAAAATTTACTGTTTATTATTCAATTGGAGAAAAAGAAGCCTCTCTTAACACAAGCCTGTGGGAACTCCAAAAGTGCTGTGGTCGATGACATTTACGTCAGACTGAATAAAATTAAGATATCTTCGAACCAAGACCAGATACATAAAAACTAAAACAAGCAAGATCTACCCACAAAATTGAATGCCCAGATCATCAGTCAAGATATATTATGTTTTTGCCATAAGAAAAGAAATATGTAAATATTTATAAGAGTTCTAACGTTTTTGTGTGTTTTACCTTGATCCTAATATTTTAACTATTACAGAACTTCAATATTAACAACTATTATAACGACAAGCAGACCTAGTGGTTATATCACCGTCCGGGAACGAGGCCGAAATCCAAGTGACCGATCTCTACGCGACCCTGTGTCCCTTCGCTCGAGTAGATAACATCATATTCGGTATACAGTGTTGCCAGCGCCAACACATTATAAAATGTACATAGTATTTAAATTTGGCACACGATTAAAATTTACGACCAAATTCCTTAAAGATATGTATTATTTACTTGGACCGGATCAAATACAAGTTCACTGAATTCTAATACAGTAAGTAGAAAATGGAGTCAAAAACTTCATTCGTTCAAGAAACTAAAAAAAAACCAATGCAGTTTAAAAATCAATTCATAAAAATATAAATGAACTTCGTTGAATTGTTTATTAAAATTTGTAAATGCGTTTTTCCTTTTAAAATAATTAGTTACTGCATTTGGTAAATAATCCTGTGGTCCACTCAAATACTTTTTCATTCTGATTTTTAGTATTTGTTGTTATAGCGGTAACAGAAATACATCATCTGTGAAAATTTCAACTGTCTAACTTTATTTCATGAGATACAGCCTGGTGACAAACCGATGGACAGACGTCTGTCTAGACAGTGGATTCTCAGTAATACCGTCCCGTTTTACCCTTTTAGTACGGAACCCTAAAAAGGGGTTTTTGTTTGTCTACTCACTATTTGTTTATGTTTGCTACATCAGAACTCAGTCATTTACGGATCGACTTTTAAAATTCTTTTTTGCCTTCGTACAGCTCAGCTCTCATGTGATTGCATATTCATTTCATTGATATTGGACTTTAAATCCCATAAATACACCAAGGAACCCATATACATATAATATAACCCCCATATTTATTGAAACTAAAGTCGGCTTTGTTTTTTGTTACTATAAATGTTTTACTTGTTTTCTGAATATTTTCACATCCATTAAGAAACTAACGAAGCGATCCTCCATCCTTTGTTGTACGTACGGTAAAGAAATGCAAAATATTATCAAACCGTATATATCAAAAAAAAATTAAGTTAAAAGTTATGATGAAATTGGTTAATAGTTTTGTGACCATTTCCTAATCGACAGCTACAACTATGTAAAAACAACCGGTCATACATTGTACAAGAAGATTACAAACCACTCTGTTTTATCTTTAATAAGCTTCTTTGCATAAAATTTCAGTTGAAGAATTCAATGTATAAGATAAAAAGCGAAAGCTCGTATCGCTATGCATGCGCTGATAAGCAAATGTAATCTTTTGAGTTTTGGCTACAAGGTTTGGAATTAGTTCGGCAAGAAAATGATAGGTAGGACATTATTTTGATCCACTGTTTAATCAAAACTAATGACATGTTTTGATAACGCGCTATTTATCTGAAGGCCGAAACCACTTTGCAATCTACCAAACTAACATGCTCAATTTTTTTTATTTCTTTATATTTTTTGGATTTCTTTTTTATGCCTTTACTTTAGGATAACATTTTCCTGTGTTGTAAGGACGTTTTACATACATAATATATTTCACGTGGACAGACACCCAGACGCGAAACAGTTATCTGTGGGTCACACAAATAGTTGTCCCGTGTGGGAATCGAACCCACGACCCCCTAAGCCGAAATCAATGCCTTGGCAACTGCGCCACGGAGTCATAATCGCGACATTATTACTATATTATTATGTTTATTATATTTTTATATTATTATATTTTTTTAACATTGCCCATACTTTAGGATAACATTATCCTGTGTTTACAACATGAATTTCACGCGGACAAACACCCAGATGCGAAACATCCGTCAGTGGGTCATATAAATAGTTGTCCCGTGTGTGAATCGAACCCACGACCCCCGACTCCGAAGCCAATACCTTGGGCAACTGCGCCACGGAGTCATCACATTGGTAGAAATGGTAGTGGGCATGAAATGTATTATACTATTCGAACTATGGTATATTAATTTTTAATGCGCTATACAGCGTGTCGTTACAACCGCGACAATAAATGGACACACGTCTAACGCTACTTGCCAATAACCATAAAAAAATATAAAACGTTAAAAAATCCATAATAAAAAAATATATTTTTCAAACAAACTAATTAAAATAAAAAAGAAACAAAATTTGTAACACCTATACAACTACAACTGACTGATTCATACATTCAGAGACTTTTTCATTAGTTGCCACAACGTCGCATTACAAGTCTCTCCTTTTAACAGTATGTTTTATCTCTTTTAAATTCATTCAACCCATTCCTATGCTTTGTGACCTTTACAAATGAACTTTACGTTACAGTTTTATACGTAAGGGTGTTCTAAAAATATTTGTTTTGTAAAATTTAATAACTCGGGTAATATTTATGTTTAAAGAATGTAAATGCTTAATACAATTTTAAAAAGTTATCCTCTATGTGTGTTCATTTATTGTCGCGGTTGTAACGACACGCTGTATCATATAAAGTACATTAAAAATTATAAAATTATAATTGTATAATTTTCTCTGACCGATGCATTTTGCATCTGTCAAAGCATATACAGAGAAAATCAGCCATTGACTTACTAATAGAACAAGTGCCATTGTCGCCAAGGGTACAGTGAGAGACACAAGTGCTGCCTGTCTCCAAGGTAGTACCGTACCCAGTAAGTACGCGACGAACATCCCGGCAGAAGTGAAACCGTTCGTCAGGGTTGTCAGGCAACCGCGGAGTGATGGATCTCTGAAATAAAATAACAAACACCTAAAGCTATGTGTAAAGGTTCGTCCATCCCACTCACTTCCGAGTGTTTTATTCACTTTGTTTTATGGATAAAATAACAATAAACAAGGGTTCATAACAGAACACTCCACAAGAACAACAGTCAAGGGGGCTCCTATACTAAAGACATGATTTTTTTGCCGTTTTTATAGATTATGGTACGGAACCCTTCGTGCGCGACTCCAACTCCCAGTTGGCCGGTTTTTTTCAGTAACTTTCGATTGAAACTTCATTTACTAGTGCATGTCAGGGATCATGTCAAACATCCAGATGCGAAGCTATCAACCACACTTGAAACATATTATTTACCGCGATTAATCGCCTTTCACGGTGATATCTTGAATAATTATTAAAAACTATATATTACTATATAAAACAAAGTTACGCAGTAATAATATGTTAATAATCATAGTTATATACTTCATATGGTATAAAGCAATAATCGAGTAACTCCAAGGAAACAAAATTTTAAGTTATTATAAAGTCATAGAGCCGACTGCTTGGGTGACGCAATAACTGCCACTACCAGTGTGAGTTTATATCCCCAAACAGCAAGACGATTTGTGTGACCCAAGAAATTATCGTTTCTGTGTTGACCCTCTCGCGACTCAGGGATTCCCCTAGTCCGAAAGCGTTTTTAAAATCTCCATCCCTACATTATAACTCGAATGTTTTGGTATTTACTTACTAGACAAGCAGAATAAAGTAATGTTTTAAAAAAATCTTGTAAGGAATGTGTGTCATCGATTGGTTTTTGTTTAAATGGAAGATTGCAACTTGGATTAAGATTTAACGTTATTCACCATTAATAAACACTAATTTGCACGTTATTATATTACCATTCGTTAATTGATCTCGGTACTGTGCAAAAATTTTGCATGACTATACTAATAAAAAATAGAAATAAAGAAGAATTGTACATTATTAATCTTGAGTTGAAATGTATGAAGAATTAATAAAGAAGAATAGAATATTATTTATGTTGAATTGAAATACTCAAGAACAAAGCTAAAGTCATAACTAAAAACCAACCTTGACCTTAACTTACCTTCCACTAGCATAATCGTGTTAACATATTCAACAATGGGATGTGTCACAGACAGTTATGGCGATTCCGGATAAAAAACGATGTGGATCTCCATAAACCAAGTGTAATAAATATAGCAACAAGAATGTCAAACCTCGTTTGAGATAAGACTGCGACATACAGTCTTACGAAAAGTATTTTCATATGAACGCAAGATAAATTTGAATTTCACATCTGCATTTTCCAATTACGTATTACTTTGGGTTAATTTAACATGACTAAAAAAAATAAATCTTCTATTTTTAGGGTTCCGTACTTACTTAAAGGGTATTACTGAAACTCCACTGTCTGTCATGTACCGTGATAGACAGTTGACATTTTCACATATGATGTATTTCTGTTTTGCTGCTATTTTTTTTGGAAGATTCAGTACCTACAGTTGATTATGTGATACATCGGATATTCGACATTGAATACCCTAGTACATTATTTAATTTGTAAGTGAACAATATCAAGTTTGTAAACAGTTTTTTAAGCTCGTTGTCTTATGTAAACTTTTTTAAAATAATTATATTTTATTCCAGCCAAATCAAATCGATATAGTCTTTCATTATTTCATAACCTCGTTTTATAATTATTTATAAGCGAGATCTTATTGCTCAACTTTACGTATGATTTTTTATGGCCCTATTAAATTTTATATTAATTTATCACATTATTGCACAACTGTTGCGGTAGACACTTCAAACTTATAAGGCGGTAAGGACAAGTCACGTTTTTTTTCTTCGCACGGAAGTTATTAACTAAGGAAAACGATCCTATGATCACTTAGTTTATGAAGAATCATTAGCTCTTGAAGAATATGTTATGATTTTATTGTATTTGATCTAGACGCAATAGTTCAATCATACAACGACCAGTTCAAAAGTGTTGATATTTTTGTTACTACGCCTTCATATTTCAAAAATAATGCCACAAAATATTTTAATATACAATAAATTAAATATGTATAAATTTTAAAGTTTTTTATATTGCTAATCTCTGCACTTAAGATTGAACATTAAAAAATGTAGAAAAAGTACGAAAAGATTGTCGCCGCTGTGAATCGACCCCACGTCTTCGGCAGTCGCTGCCATTCAGATTGCAGATGCATTGCCAAACATTAAAAGGTGAGATCCAGTTATCTCAGAAAACAGTCGAAACGCCTTAGTGTTACTTTCATTCAGGCTGGTCTTCTGTGAGGCCGTTATACTTTGTATGAGCCTGCATATTCATGCAACAGTAGAGTAGATTACAGTCCCTGCGTGGCTCTACCGCAGTCGAAAAGGTTATTTACATAATATCACTTACGTCACTTCTCCGACGTAGGTAACCGAAGGCGCTTCCATGATCCCAATGCCGATGCCCAGCAGGGCGTTGCCAACGAACAACGAGGGCACGTTCCACGCGTAGTACATCAGCAGCCAAGCGATTAGGTGCGGTATGTTCACCAGGAACAGTGCTTTCCGACGCCCAAAGTAATCCAGCAGCGGGCCGGAGAATATGCTGCCCAGTGGTTGGCACAGGAACGCCATGCTGCCTGTAAGATTGAGAAGCAAATGTGTAACCTTTGTGGTATTGAAAAATTTTTCGTCCAGGTCTAGGTTTCATGTCGTTAGATACCATGCGATTCAAATAAGAATAGGACTGAATTCGCGCCATCTGGTGACGCCATAGTTGTCAATTCAAACCTAATAGGTAGTACCTAAATAGATAGGGTGAGCAAAACAGATATGTATGAAATAATATTTATTTTACAAATATAAGTTGTATTAAAAGCATAAAAGAAAAAGTTTTGATTGGAATCAGCTCATTTCTGCACTACTGTCAGAGTATTCATCATCATCATCGTCGTGATCATCATCATCACTGTAAGGCAAAAGCCCTTTTAAAATAATTCTAGAATTAATATAGAATTTTTTATCACCTCTAACCATGTATTTTGTTGGATAGGTGTTTAAGAGATTTATTTTCTAATTATCTCAGAGACTTAAACAATTAGAGAATAAATCGAATCTTTCACATATTTTTAACCTAACGGAACAGATTAAAAAAATTAGGAGAGATGAAAATTTATATACAATTTTTTTCCGATTTTTACAAGTTTCAAATTCCGATCAAGTTCTGTATAAAAGTAATGTAATATCCCGGGGATAGTAAATTTTAAACTGATCAACTGTCGTAGAGTATTTATTTTATTTTTAATGAACCCGTTCGCCTTGTATAGGTTAGACATTCCTTCAACGTTAACATCAAAGCACAATGTTACGAGGTTCAATAGCATGTTTTATAACTTTATTTCAATCCGTTGTGCAATACAAACACTTAATAACCGTTAGAAATATTGCATTCATTGGGAATGTGAGACAAGTGTAATGTTTTTAGAGGATTGTAAATTAATGTAGGATTTGATCATCTTTGATTTCATCATCTTCTTTTTGGTGATAGAATTTATCGTCTTCTGCATCAACTATAGCGTTAAATCGCTTTAGTTAAGTTCAGTCTTAAAGATTCATTAATACGAATATTTTTTTTTCATTAATACCTATTACCAATATGTAATTAAGGCATTAGACGTTAATGACCATAAACTGATTGACTTCTCCGAATCCGCTGCTAATATACTTAGCTTTTTTTGTTTTGTGTTAAAAGTTACCGAGCTAGCAGACGGTTCACCTGATGTTAAGTGAATAAATAAATATTTAGTAATAACGAATTTATACTTCTACTTTACGCCGGTCTTCTGTGTGGTCTTGGTACTTACCCGGGCGAGCCTGCCAATTCGTGCAACAGCCGACGCTGCTGCGTGGCCCTACCACCGTAAAAGCTTATTTAGATTACTTTTTTTTACCGTGCTAGGGCCACGAAAACGTCTTCGTTTTTTTTACGAATGGGTAGGTACGTCCGGGAAAGTACCACGACCTCACAGAAGACCAACGTAAAACGGAATTGTTATTCTTCAGCGTTTCGTTTTGTGAGTGAGGTAATCACTACTTATTGAAAGGCAGATGGCAACCCTACAGGTGTCTCATTTGTGTTTCATATAATATTGCTTAATGTAGCAATTACTGATAAACTTGATAAATAAATAAAAAAATAAAAATAAAACGAAAAGTATCGCACTATCAACGTCAAGCGCAGAATAGTTTGTGTTGAAATCGATGTACACAGTGGAAATGGTCAGCAAAGATTAGAAAAACAGGTGTTTACTAACAGTTCAGTATTTTCTACTACTGGGCGACCACAAGTTTATGATTTCGTTAGCGAGTTGCTTTTGATAGATTGTGATTACAATGTCCAACTAGGTGTCGTTTATCGGAAACGGTGTCACCTTGGCGGGTATTTTTCTCGCTTATTAAGCAATTGTTACTTATTGAATGTCCGAGCCATATTACAGAAAGCTGATGTCGTTCAATAACTCCAATTGCATACTCCTACGGACGAGATCGATGGCGTGTGTTTGTCGAGATTTATTTAGAGTATTACTGAAATTTCGTAGCTTTTATGTAAATCGTTATATATATACCAATCTCTCGCAAGTTTTGGCATTAACTTGGTAGATGAAAGCAAATGAGCCATGTCTGAAATTGCATTTCCTCTTTTATGAGTATTGCTCGCGATTCTCGCATTCTGATAATTAAGATCTTCTTCTTAATTATCAGAATTTGCTTTGAATTGATTCTGGTCAATCAGAGAGTTTAACAATGTACAACCTTCAGTGTAATATGCTTTATAAATTATGTATGTTTCTGTATCTAAAGAAGTTCAAAATTAATTTAAATAATATGTTTTGAAATGTTAAGTCAATGCTGCCCTCGGTTTATCGACAACAGTCGATGGCCCGAAGGTACTTCATATTTCATAGAGACACCCGTTGGGTTTTGTAAGCGGCTTTGCAATTTGCACAACATAAGCGATTTCTTAGTAGTATCAGTGTAGCTTATATAACTTTAATAAAAATAAATTTAAAAGGGGTGAACCAATGCGTTAAATACAAATATATGTATATGGAAAATTTTAAGTATTTTAGAATCAGGATGGAGTACCTAAAGTTATAATTAACATACTGGTAGTCAGCAGTGTATGCATGTCCCGCAGTATTTGTGCAAATTTTATTTTATTTAGATTATCAACGTGAATACTGTCAAAATATTAACTTTTGTATCCGGTAGAAAGACGGTTCGGTGAAACTTTGGTGACAACTTCGATTTTGATAAACTTTTGAAAAATTTATTCGATATAAGATTGTTTTAAGAACGTCATAAAACTACAATACAAATTATGAGAAGAGAATTGACAAGAAACGGTTTTCGATCTAGATGTTTGTTTATGTTTGACATATCTATGTTAATATACAGCGTGTCGTTACCATCGCGACAATAAATGAACACACATATAGGGGACAACTTTTTAAAGTTGTATTAAACATTTAAATTCTTTAAACATCAATATTTACAGAGTTATTAAATTTTCCAAAACAAAGAATTTTAGAACACCCTTACCTATAAAAGCGTAACGTAATGTTCATTTGTAAAGGTTACAAAGCATATGAATGGGTTGAATGAATTTAAAAGAGACAAAACATACTGTTAGAAGGAGAGGCTTGTAATGCGACGCTGTGGCGCGAATTGTATAGGATGTTACAAATTTTGTTTCTTTTTTACTTAATTAGTTTGTTAGAATTTTTTCTTTTATATTATGGATTTTGTTTAACGTTAATATTTTTTATGATTATTGGCAAGTAGCGTTAGACGTGTCTTCATTTATTGTCGCGATGGTAACGACACGCTGTATATAATGCAATTTCTAAAAATCTACTATCATCGTCTTCTCACGTTGGTCATGACGTTTGTCATCGTTTCCAGTCCCACGCGTTTGTCTGAGATAATAAAATATGATCAGTAATACATGAACACACTGAGTTCTTCGTAGTTTTTGTCGTATATTAATGTTGGATGGAACCCAAATGGATCAAGTAACCCCATTTACATCGACCGTACTTATATTTATTCAACCAGTATTTAGATTTATTACATTAGAGATAGAAAAAAATAATAATTGAGAGCCACCGCGCCATGTCCGCCTACTTTGTGGAATTAAATTAAGATAAGGTCCCCTTGCATATACATAAATATTTCCTACGCGTTTGGATGTTTATTTGACCGAATGACTGCTATCTACTTACTGGATTTCGTTATCTGAACACACGGCATTTGCCTGTGTAACTCATACATAGGCAAATGCCGTGTGTTTCGACACCAGGAAATATTTTTTTAAGTGAGAAATTGGCAAGCTAGCCTGGTGTTAAGTTTATTTTGTTTTAAAATTCATTGCTCTCACCTTAGGCTAATACTTGTGTTGTAGGAACGTTTTTAAACGGCTTTATTTAGCTCGACCCGTACGGAATTTATTTGTTTATTTATTTGGTTCAAAATTAGAAATTGAAATTTAGGCACCTTCCCGCTGTCAGATTGATCTGAAATGTGTGTACCAAACACACATTTAATTTAGATGACAATACAATATTCTAGTTTTCAGTGCACATAAAATAAAAACGTTTAACTTAAAAGTTTTTAAACGGTTTTATACAAACATAAATTTCACGAGGACAAACACCCACATTCGAAACAATTATCTATAATTCATACATATAGTATACTTGTCCCGTGTGGGAATCGAAGCCGCGACCCGCGACACCGAAGCTAATACCTTGACAGCTGCGCCATGGCGTCATCTACGTATTTACCGCCGTTCATGGCAAGTTGCATAGTTAATACACCAATATATGCTACGATATTGCGCTTTAATGTCCATATTGACAATCTGTGTCAAAAAAGCTTTAAAATTTTAGTCTTTCTCTTGAGAAATACTAAATTCATTAGAAATTCACAGACATTAATTATTCTATACAAGTACATGTTTTAGTTCGAAGTATCTTGGAGTGCTGCCCTGTCGTATGAAATCCTTACTATAACATCTACATCAAAAGACTAGAGGGTATTCAGAAGCGTTTCTTATGGCATTTGGTTCTTAAGTGCGGCCTAACAAAAAAGTTACCTCGGTAAGTATGTTGACAGACTTAATTATTTCGGGCTGTGTGCACTCTCCGATCGAAGATATTTGCTTGACAACATGTTTTTATACAAATTAGCAAACGGCCTACTTGACTGCCCACAGTTACTTGAAACCTTATGCTTCACAGCTCCTTCGAAACATCTCAGAATGAGCAGTGGCCATTATTTCGCTGGAATGAGGCTAGGTCTAACTTATGATACAATGCTCCTATTAATAGATTAATTAAATCCTTCAACTTATTAAATAAGTAAACAGAAATAGATATTTTTGACAACAATATATCTATATTCAGACATTCAATAAAATTGTACTTAAGTTCCAATAATCTTTAAATATATAATTAATATCTTCACCATTCAATTCATATATTTTTTATTGTAACATATTTTTTTAGTAACATACTTTTTATACTGCTTTTTTTTCTACTTTTACTGTATTTTAGTTTAATGTTTGTATTATTATAATTTTCGTATTTCATATTTAGTTTTGTAAAAGTTTTTTGTCTCTACTGTCTGTTAAAAAGTATTTTTTACCTATAATTAAGGTACCACTCATGACTTTTTTGCAAACCTTGTTTATTTATTCTGTTACAGCGTGAACTTTGTTAAAAATTGTACTTATAAACTGTACTTGTAAATAAATAAATAAATATTTCGTAGAAGAATCAAAGGAAATGAGTGAAAAGTAAATTAGAATGTTTTACCAATATATAAAGCAATTAAAAACTCCAAATGTTAGGTGAATACCCGGTAGAGATATAGTAAGGAATATAAAAAATGTTCACCGTCAAGACCAAAAACTTGTCATAAAATAAGACGAATCTGAAGAACTCAATTCATGTATTGTAAGTTATTTATTATTATGTATTACAATACATGTATGATACATAATCTGATAAAATAAATAAAAATATCGATTATTAAATATTGGAATCAAATTTATCTGAAGCGTCGAAACTTTAGTATATAAGTGATAATAAGTTATGAGGTTATAAATAAGTTATGAAATCAATAATTATTTATCTGTTAATTATCTCCTCTATCAATTATGTAACATCCCAACAACCTCTGAGGATGTTAATAACAGGTAATTAATTAAAATTATTTAGAATTCACTTAAGGAAAAGCGAATATTAATGGAGGTAACTAGTAGTATTGAATATCGATAAAGATAACACACTAGATGCAATAAGAAATAATCATTTGCATTTTTTATTAAGTTTTGTGGTGGAACACTGATTAGGTGGTGTGTTTCTTCCCATAATCTTGTTGAAAATGTAATGATAATATGTACACACAGTATTGGAGAAATTTCGAAAAATAAAATAAAAGATATCGTCTGCACTTAAAATAATGAAGCTGAAGAGTCTGTTTGTTTGTTTGACTGTGCTAATTTCTGAAACTACCAGTTAGATTTGAAGAAATCTGCATATTGCATTTGATAAACCAATTGCTGAGGAAGATTATAGCATATTTAACATCTACGACTTGCGGAAACGAAGCAAAAACGTTACTGGCGGATGAAATTGCACGTAATAGCTAGCTCTCTTATGTTAATACTTTGGCTAAATTATTGTGTTTTGGATGAAATATTACCGATATCTTTATGCTTGGGGGTAAGTCATTGTGCGCTTTTTAAAAGTACTGCTGCACACGTTTTCTTTAATTACTTATCACCAGCGGTATTTTCAGGCCAATATTAGTGAGCCTATTCATTCCTGAAAATTTAACAATGTGCTTGCAAATCCTCCATGGGCGGCGGTTGTATACACCAATATACACTATGATATTTCGTTAAGAAATCAAAAGAAATAAGTCATATTAAAAGTAAATTCGAAAGTTCTTACCAATACATATATAAAGAAGTAGCTGCTGCCCGCGACTACGTCTGCGTAGAATAGGCTGTAGGCGTAACATTCAGATAGAAAGACAGATATACATAAAATTTGTATATAAATTATAGCCTATGTCTTCTTCTGATGTATAAGCTATATATTGTAAAGTTTCATTAAAATCTAGTTAGTAGTTTTTGCGTGAAAGAGTAACAAACTTCCATCCGTACATACAAAATTTTCGCATTTATAATATTAGTAAGGATTAAAAACTCCAAATATTGGTTGAATACCCGATAGAAATATAGGAAAGAAGAAAAAAGAGTATTGTTATAAAAAATAGCATAAGATACAATAAAATAGTATTAGTATAAAACGGGTCCTAGGCTCCTTACAAGAGCCGAGCATGAGTTTGAACTTTTACACATGAAACGTCGCACCAACAGGTACCAATGTTAAAATCGCTTTTTACAATTAATATGTTTTAATAATATTATCTATTAATCGTTCTATGTATTTAGGTTACGGCCAGGTGAGAACTTAATATGAAAGTTAGATTATTCTAAGTAATCTACCGATTTTTATATATGTTGATATATTAACATATATAGGAAAGTAAGTACGAAGGGTGCATAGCTTTACTCGCTTCTACATGTATGAGATTTAAAGCAATATTAATGGTACAAATCTGTTACTTTTCACCTGTCAGCTTCTACTTTGCAACAGACATCTCTTATAGCATATAGCGAGGTGTTAAAACAAATCTATGACAAGAGTTTTGGTACAATACGACTACGTACATACTCGTATGTCGATAAAGCGCAGATATTTTTAGTCTTAAATCGCAGATATTTTAAGATTAGGCAGATAAGATATAAATATTTACATTTAAGTTGAGAGTTTAGACGTTGAGTTAGGGATTTCTTAGTCAAAGTCAAAGTCAAAATTTCTTTATTTAATTCATAGGCTTATTTTAAGCTCTTATTGAACGTTAAAAACTACCACCGGTTCACTAAACTAGACCTGCAAGATAAGAACCGGCAATAAACTCTGATTTTTTGGTAGGTGGGATCGTTACTATATTACGTTTCGCTTGCATTTAAGCGTACTGCAAAATCATAAAGATAACCTACCGAACCACGACGCCTGCTTCTTGTTGATGGAGAGACCTTCTTTAGCGTCGAGCACCTCGGGGAGAACCATCGTCACGAAGCTAATGGACATTCCAAGGCCGATTAGTAGGAAGTCCAACGCGAGACATGCTAGCACCTGCAATATATATGTGCAGGTTAGAATGTAAACTCATTTCATATATTATTTCGAGGAAATGCAGCTAGCGTTCTTGGCACCATGCCGCGTGGATTAGGTTTGATAAGATAATATATTATATTAGATAGATTTAATCTTGTAAATATTAGACCTAATAAACGAATTACTTTAATTTCATATATGGTGAAAATTAAGGTAAAAATACAAATTAAAATGAAATTGAAATAAATTGGCAGTTCACCTGATCATAAGTGACCCATAGCTTAGATATAGGTAGGCAACATTCTTGGGAATGCTGTATTGCTAAATCATGAAAGGCTTGGGCCCCAATTATCTGACTTAAGGCCCATTTACACGGTGCCAGTTTCTTGCCTGTTGTATACAATTAAATTGAAGCAATAAATGAGTTGCATGGCCTAAACAACAAATGGTCTTAACAATTATTGCGCGCAATTTATTGCATCCAATTATTGCTCTTGTATGTACAAGAAAATGGCATCGTGTAAATGGGCCTTTACTCACTAGACGAAATGCAAGTTTTTGTTGTACATTCAATCGAACAAAACTGTTCTAACCTATAAATAACCTTCAATGCGACATAGAACCTGCTAGAGGGTGTGGGTCCGGTCCCCACTATTGGATAATTAATGTTGGGTACCTAATTTGCCTGTGACCTGCAAAAAATATTATTGATTTATTATTTGTATTTTGCCTTTAATTCAATATACTCGAGCAACCTGAGTTCGATCCCCGGTGCCGGCACCAATGAAGTTTTTAACTTTAAGTGCTGACTTATCACGTGCTCCGCGGTGAAGGAAAACATCGTGAGGAAACCTGCATATATTCGAATTAATAACAAAAAAAAATATATTTCGAAGATATGTGAAGTCCGCCAATCCGCAGTGGGGCCGCGTGGTGGACTATGCCCTGATACCCTCTGTATAGAGGAGGCCTTTGCCCAGCAGTGGGACATGTATAGGCTGTTACTGTACTTTTTTAATTGGTTGTTATGAACTTTGGCTTTCTTTAAAAAATCTCTAAAAAGTACATATCTAACTATTAATAAGTATCCAGACGTTTTATTCACAATGTAAACACTATTCAATGCGATAAGAGTATACCTTCACTTCTTAGTTTACTATGACCTACCACTAACATGTCTGCCCTTTAAGTGGCCCTAGAACCACTTGTTACGGAACCTGTTGCAAATATGGCACTAGAACTATTGCAGGTACTCCATGGCGTAAATATCAATTAGACATTTGCTGTTTATAAATATCATGCATTTAACTTAATCTGTGGTGTGTAATGTAAGATCCAGGTTCGAACTTTATCTTGCACTACTAGGTCATGTAAGTGAATTTATGGTTAAAATGTCATCTGAAAAAAAAAAAATTCTGAGTGTTTCACCCAACAGTCACTACATAGTATAAAAGAAAGTCGTCCCGCTGTCTGTCTGTCCCTATGTATGGTTAGCTCTTTAAAACTACGCAACGGATCTTGACGCGTTTTTCTTTTCATTCATAAGGAAGGTTTATATGTATACTACATAGCACCCATACAAAGCCGGGGCGGGTAGCTAGTAACTAATAAAACTACCTTATCATGAATTATATTTTAATTAATTTTAATGTCCCGCGATAAACATTTAGCGTTTGATAAACACGAATATTTTAATTTCATACGAATATTAATTAATTTATTTTTTATAATTATACTGTAGTATTAATTATACTGTAAACGATGTTTTCATCAATTAGCATTCTGCCAGATTATATAAACCATTTCATTTTTAATATTAAATCCCTCTAGTTCTTTACTACCGCAATCAAGATTAAGTTAAAGTAAGCTTAAACTTATTCAAGAGGTTGGAAACGAAAAATATAAAGAAATTGAAGAATTAAAATAGAAGAGAATAATGTGCATTTCGAACCTTGACTTTGCAGTAATAGTAATAAAACAATAGGAAGTGTTTTTAAAGTGATAGACAAGTATCAACATTATATAATATAAGTAAAAAAAACTACAATAAAAGATTTTAATAATAAATAATAATTTACGTACCTGAGACAGCACGACCCTCCACCGTTTCAGCGTTTTGATCTCCTCACTTTTTTGTGTCATGTTTCTTTGATGCACTTTTCTTGAAAAATTGTCTTTATTATATCACTGTTTCAAATGACGAGGAAATTCCCTCGAAAGTCAGTTGTCGTCCGTATCACAAATGGATATTTAACAAACAGCTATACCTCACCGCTATAATCTCGTTTTGAAACGTAACACCTCTTATTTGTATCTTTTACTGGCTGCATTAATTGTTATTTAATATTGTTTTTACAAGAATTTAAACTATCATAACAACGTTACAGACATACTTCGCACACGTTTGAATCATTTTCTTGAATTTCCTCACTTCCACGTGTTCTCGCTCTCTATTTATTTTCATATACTGAAGCATATTTTTATATTCCATTACTGCTTTTGTGATGGATACTTCAAAATTCTAAATTAGTAATGGTGATATAAAAAAATTGGTTTTTTAATTTCAACAGAAGATTTGTGCAAGGAATTATGAAAATCGTAAGATATATATGGAGGAGAAGATGGAGAAGAGAAGAGAGCGAATTGGCAGTAGACCATGACCTAAGAATGTGAGAAACGTATCTTAAGCGTGTTGTTTAACAACACGGCTTTAAAGGATTAAGAGTATGTTCACGGCTTCCTCCGAGAACCATTTTGTTATATCGTAGAAAGCGTGGCCAGGGGTCAAAGAGGTCTTACCTAAAGGTTAAGGGCGACATTTGCGTAAGGGCGCTATATTATTCTGCTTTTTCCGACAAATATTTAACCCCCTTCACCTCCCCCAATCTAAAATCTGCATTATGATGGCAATAAAGCTTTGTTGAATTGTATAAGAATATAAACTGCATACACTTTGAATTAGTTCGAAGTGTATATGTTCGAAGTGTTTGGTAGTTTATTATATTTGGCATTAATATAAAAGTTAATCTTTAACACACTCGCGAATAATGGACGAACATTGATACTTCTGTACTTAAAATTTAATATATAAAAATTTAAGATTATAACACATATATTTACCTGCTAGATACTTAATTGTTGAATATTTAACATAATTATCGATACAAATTTAAGAACTTGTTTGTTTTAGTGTTCTACTTTCCAGGTATTTTGTTATTAAAGATGCCCAATACTCTCATTTATTAATAAGGATTTAAGTTTCCTGCTTTATAATAAACGTTCTCCGTAATCGTAAAATGCGATACCTTTAAGAGAACGAGGTTTACCCATGCCGTATTTTCATTTAAATGGCTTCACCTAAATTAATTTTTGTATGCATTTTATAATAAATAACGAAAAAAAAAACTTAATTAACATTTTATTATTAATAACGGATTTCATTTAGTTTTAGTTTTCTTGGATATCATTGAAATTAATTACTTGTGTCTGAATATATTTTATATAATAATTACACTAGCTGACCCGGCAAACACTGTTTAACCATATAAATTATTTGTAGGGTAGAAAAAAATGTTTGGGGTGGACCACCCTTAACATTTATGGGGATGAAAAATAGATGTTGTCCGATTCTTCACTCTGGCCGATATGCACACAAAATTTCACGAAAATCGGTCGAGCCGTTTCGGAGGAGTTCAATTACAAACACCGTAACACGAGAATTTTATATATCAGATTTATTAAACGAATTCTTCAAAACTTTTCTAAGTTTTATAGTATCTACTTATATATAATACTATTTCATAATACCGAAAAGTTCAATTTTAATTGATAATTTATCTAATATTATGTCGTTTTAAGTCTCCCAAGAATTTTATTATTATTGTAAAATACTTCACGCCGACATTTAGTAAAACGTGCAATCACAACCTAACTCGTTTACCAAAAGTAGATAATTCTATTCATGGTCATATAAATTACTTTAATACTATTGTTAACAGTTCTTAATATACATATATGGCAATTTCATACGCATGTCAAACCATCCGGACATCTGAATCTGGGCAGGCGAAAATTGAATTGAAAATTTATTATAGTACATTCAGTACAGTTGATAATAAATAGTTCGATCCGATAACTTTTTTAGTCAAATGTTTAACAAAGTAACTGCACCAGAATTAATATCTAGTGATCTGAGCAAGCTCGAGGAAAGAGGAAATCACCAACGGGCCGTTAACATATAAAAGAAGAAATAAAACGGTATTTAACATAAAAAAGTCTTCCCAAATTTATACACAAACTCAATGTAGGAAATTAAAATAAATTTGCTTTCTAAGGTTCTCGATTCGGTTGTATTTTTTATGTTTGTTGAACTCCGTCATTGATGGGAACCGATTTTAATAATTATTTTTGCATTGGGTTCTCTTTAGGACACATGTGGTTCCATATCAATTTCGTAGGCATTGGACCTTTGACTGCGGAGATGCATCAGGGAACTCGTCAAAATCAAATAGAAAATGTATAGTGAGTGAGAATACAGTTTTGTTGCTTGTTCATAAAAAATGTATTTCTTATTTGTTACTTTGTTGGACATATTTTAATCCTGTGCATGCTTAATTCGCGTTGTATTTCCACTAATCCGCATGCACACATCTTAGCCAAAAAAAATATATACCCCAGAAAGTCATTGAATTTGAACATTGCAAAGTGTGTGTGTACTTATGTACGCATATAAGAAGTTATTCTAAACTAAAAATTTAACCTTTGTGTCAGTACTGTTGGCGCTGGCAACAATGTATACCGGATATGACGTTCGCTAATCATGCCAAGAGACACATACATGGTCGCATGGAGCAGCGGTCACTGGGATTTCGGCTGCGTTCCCGGTCAGAGATATAACCACTAGTGCGTTATAATAGTTGTTAATATTCAAGTTCGGTAATAGTTAAAATATTAGAATCAAAGTAAAAACGTTAGAACTCTTATAGTACACCTTGTTTGTGAAAAAGACATTAAATGCAATTGATAAAAGTTTAAAAATTAACTTGGAATTATTGGTAAATGTCAAAATCTGTTCTTGATTGTCATGGTAATAGCGTGAAGTTGGTCGAAGGTGGCTGCCCTGCGACCTCTTCATCGCATTGCTTTTTGCGTGTCGACTCATAAAAAAATTACTCTTATAATTTTTTCTAAAATCGCCAAAAGAAGTCTAACTTCAAAAATTATACTCGTATTCATTTTTGTTGTTACAAAACGAGCCGACGGTGCGCGGTGCGTGCGCTGTGCGAAATCGCTGATACGAAAAATGCCAACATTGATTTATACAATTAACAATGAATTAACACTTTTAGTTTATTTCAATGTGTTACGACATCCGCGCCGGTGTTACGAAATTCAAAACCCGATTTTAAACGATGCCGTGTCCGAGTACAGTTCTAAAAAGATGGAATGGAATTACAATCACCATTTAATGTAACTAGTATTAAATGATTGACGACTTGCGGTCACAAAAATGATACGGATTACTACACATTAAGTGTCGTTCGGTTTTTAATATTTTTAAAATTCCATACGATATTTCTAGGTAAGCTTAGATTAGTTTAATGAGATGGCAAATATGGAAGCGGTTCACAAAATAGCATGTAAGAATTGGTGACCAGAAACTAGTTTCTGGTCACCAGTCACTAGTTAGTGTAGTCACTAGCCACGTTGTATGTGCATTTTGCCTACAGTGTAAATATTTGTACTTGTCATTCTAGTCGTCTTCTGCAGTCGGGCTAATCTATTAGTGTGCAGTTGTTATACAAGTCTCTAATTGGCTCACCTTACACAAATTTATGAAATCTATTAAATTTTTAACCGCTTTTATAAGTCTCAATGATACTGCTACAATCATACTCTATTTTGGTAACGACCTCATGACAAGTTTTTATCTAACTACCCGACTATTGCGGAGGTTCATGGTGTTTAACTATGCATGTACGTATGTTCATCTATCACGTAACCTTCAAACTACTTATCATAATTTATCAAATGAGGTATCGTCGGAAGCTTCGATTGTCCGCTGATTAAAAGCTATGTGAAGTCATATAAAACTGGATATTGCGCCATGTAGAGGACTAGTTATATACTAAAAACTAATGATGTCTTTATACGAAAACGATGACATTATAAATAAATAATTAAAATAAAATAAGTTAAAAGGTAATAAACTAAAACCTCACCTCGTGCTCTAAAAATTATGAAACAAGAAAATATTTTCAACTGAAATTATATACAAACTGCTTAATATTTATCGTCTATTAAATAAACAATTAACAAATAATATATTTCACTTTATTTAATACACATTCATTGTGATGAACAGAAGATAGCCCTGTTCATATGTAACGGGCGACAAAGGAGTGGAGACCCTTGGCCCCAAATTATTTTCTATTGATTTCTGTTAATATTTTTATGTAATCATGATTGTACAAAGTATTGCAGACAAAAGCAAAACGCGAAATAAAATTTGAAAGGAAAAGTTGTTTACGATTGTTTACTAGTCTGAGTTTGAATTTTTTTTCCAAAGTCTCTATTGTGGGGGGGCCCCTCATCTGTGGAGGCCCAGGGCTGTTGCCCCGGCTGCCCTCCAATAAATCCGGCCCTGTTCGTAGGTATGCCAATTTGCCCTAAAGTTTATGATCGCTTACTACTCTCAGGCAACTATGTTTCATGGATCATTTTAGAGTCGGTTTAGAATGAATAAATTAGTCGATAAATCTCCCTTTAGTAATGTGTCAAACATCAGTAAAGTGACTAAATTATTTTTATGTTACTACGCTAAAGAATGTGATGACTGACTCTTTATTGTATTTGAATTATATTTATTATGTAGGCATAAATAGTAGGTATATAATATATATAATATATATTGTATACAATAAGTAGTACGTATAATATAATATATAAATGCACGTATGTTTTTAAAATTGTAATTATTAATCTTTATGTTCAAGTATATTCAGTTTTGCCATATTCTTTTTGACTGACACTTAAAATCTTGTATGTCATTTTAGCTTTACTACCCGTAACTTGCTCTCAACCACCAATGGTTAACTGGAAGAAAATGCTATTTAGCATTAAGTTCGCCTTTGTACAAACTT